GACTAACGGGAACATTAAGAGAATGGTATCAAAGTCTCAGTGATTACCAAAAGATAGCAGCAGCCAGAGTTAATAATGCAAGAACTCTTCTGGGACTCATTCACAAGGAATTCATTGGTGATTTCCAGATCATTGATAAAAGGTATCGCTAAGAATACTTTGAGATGAAATGCTGTTCTTTGGACAAAAGAGACTTACAGAAACATTTCCAGAGAATGTCTGAAAAATATTACATGCTTGGAGGAGCTAATGATATCAATCTCAGGCATACTTTTATTGCCTCTCTTCCAGACGAACTGCAACCAGAACTTCATAGAGCTATCAATGCACTCCATAGAAATATGTCTGACATTTCTATCGGAGAAATATATCAGTTGGCATTAGCAACTATGGATAAGCTCTGTGAACAACAAAAGTTCTTCAAAGGGATGCTAAAAGGGCAGTCAAAACTCAGACATGCTTGCAAGAAACCACATCTAAAGATAAAGTGCAAAGATGAAAAAGATTGCTCTTGTTCTACCAAGAGAAAATTTCATTATCGTCGATTCAGATATCCAAAGGGTTCTTACTCTAGGAGAAGATCCAGAAAGCCTTTACTGAGATACTTTAAGAGGCGCAGGCCTTATTCAAAGAAATCTGACAGGTGCTACATATGCAAGAAAAAAGGACATTTTGCAAAAAATTGTCCTAATAAGACAAAAAAGGATGTGAAGATGCTGGAACACTTGCAAACTATTCTGATGATCAACGAAGATGAAGATATTGAATCTGTCATTGAAGAACAAGATGCTCAAAATGAAGAAACACAATATGTTCTTCCTTTCTCTGAAGAAGAAACTGATTCTGAATCCTTATCCCAGGAAGATGATGATCCTTAAGGGTATTTATATTCCCTTGAACAACCCGGGCATCCGTCTTTTCTTGGTTCCCTGGCTTATCAGCCAGACCACAACAAAGTCACTCCCAAGCCAAATGTCAATTCATATCCTTCCGGGAAGGTATGAAAAGCCAATCCCTGTTATTGCTTTTATTGATACTGGAGTATGCAGAACCATCATGAATCCTGATATTCTTCCTTCTGAAGCATGGATCCCTTGTGATCAATTTTTCCTTACTGCTGATTCAAAACCGTTCAAGATTGAATGGATTACTCGTAGGAAGATTGGTATTCAATTCTTTCCAGGATGTGTTCTATGGATGAAAGTTCTTGGTAGTGATCTCCCAGGGAAAGATATTCTTATTGGATTCGATGCTTATTATCATACTAGGAATCTTCAAGTACTGCCTAAAGGAATTAGATATAAAAATTTCTTTAGTGCATATACTGAAATTCCTAATCTCTTTGAAATCTAACAAGCACTACCAGGATATGAAGATATTCGAGATCATCTTCTCAAGTTTTGCGCTGATAGTCATCAACAGTTCTCTCATCCATTTCCATTATGGAAAAATCAAGAGTTTTTCATAAAACTCCCCTTCAAGAAAAATGAAGATATCAGTCCTACAAAAGCCTCTCATCCAGGAATGAATCCAGAAGATCTCAAGCTCGCCAAAGAAGAATGTGCTGCCCTACTCAAGCAAGGCCTTATTGAACCAACAAAATCTAATTGGGCTTGCCAGGCATTCTATGTTGAAAAAAGATCAGAAATCAAAAGAGAGAAGAAAAGGTTAGTCATTGACTATAAGCCTCTTAATATTTTCCTTCAAGATGACAAATTCCCTTTACCAAAGCCCAGTTCACTTACAGTCCATCTTAGAGATGTAAAAATATTTTCTAAGTTTGACCTCAAAGCAGGATTTTGGCAATTGGGTATCCACCCAGAAGATCGACCCAAAACTACTTTCTGTATTCCAAATGCCTAGTACCATTAGACTGTCATGCCATTTGAGCTTAAAGTCGCCCCATCACTGTTCCAAAAGGCCATGACCCGAATCTTTGAACCTATGCTTGATAACCTCCTCATTTACATTGATGACCTTTTATTTTTCTCAAAAGATGAGGATTCCCATAAACTTTTATTGACCCAGTTCGAGGAAATAATTGAAAACTATGGGATTATGTTGTCGGCAAAGAAAGGAGAAATAGGTGTCAAAAGCATAGAGTTTCTTGGAATGCATTTTGAAAATGGTCAGTATTATCCTGGACCACACATTGCAGAAGAATTACTCAAATTCCCAGACGATAATCTAACAACAAAGCAAATCCAACAATTTCTGGGGATTATTAATTATCTTCAGGATTTTATTCCTCATGTGTCAAATCATACCAGCCAGCTGTCCAAACTTCTCAAAAAGAATCCTCCCGCGTAGGGGACAGAACAGACCTCAGCTGTCAAGACTCTCAAAAGAATTGCACAGCAACCACCTCCTTTAAAGATTCCTGACAGGGGACTGTGAATCCTCCAGACTGATGCTAGTGATGACTTTTGGGGAGCTGTGTTAATTGAAGAGATAGATGGAAAGAGATTTTACTGTGGACATGCAAGCAGACAATTCAAGGAGGCAGAAAAGCATTATCATGCTACCTACAAGGAGATCCTTGCAGTCAAAAGAGGAATCGAGAAGTTCAGTTCCATCTCAGTCCTTATCAATTCAGAGTAGAAATGGACAATACGTTTTTTCCCAGAATGCTTAATCCCAAGGGAAAGACTTTTCCAGACAGCCAGTTACTCCTATGGAAAGACTGGTTCTCTTGCTATAAATTCACCGTTCATCATCTCAAAGGTCACCAGAACATCATAGCAAATTTCCTCACAAGACATCAGAAAGTTTCCCAGCCTCCAAAACTCCTGTTACTCTCCAGACATCAATCTCTTTTCATCCTAACCATCTCTGAACCAGAAATGCCTCACAAAATGAGAGCCACCATTTTCCCTCCTGGATCCCGTCCTGAATCTCCAGTAGATGTCTAAAACCTTGCCAAAAGCACTATGTTCTAGTGGCTTCACTGTGTTTTTGTAGACACCGGAATTCACCCTTATCCTTAGTACTTTGATGCTGATGCCCCATACCTCACTGTTCCCATCATCAAAGGACCCATACCAGTGGAACTTTTATGGTACATCTGGTCTGTCTCAACCAATTATACCTGTGCCATAGCCTTCTCAGTTGTAGTCGTCTATGATCACCTGAATGACTTCAGAAATGAAAATTCTCCTCTTACCACACTCTTTGAGATGCTTGCTCCTCTTCCCTACTGGAGAGGAAAACTTTGGAAAATTCTCAAGGAACATAATATCTGGGACTTACCAACTCCCAAACAAAAAAGATTTTTCTGTCTGTATACCTTTTTCAGGAACTATGGTATAAGTGCTTACCAGAGGCTCTACACAGACAACCGTCTGATCCTTCAAGTCACCACCCCCTCATGGCCAAGAAAGGAAGCATTATTAATGGAAAAAATTGGGAAGACATTAACTGCACTTAACTAACCTGACATGGGAGAAGACACTTCATGTCTATCTCTTGGACCTTTCCCTCCAAGCTCACTGTCAGCCAGCAACACAACACTTGAAGAATTCCAGAGAGATTTCATCATGAGTGCTGTCAGACCTCCACCAAATAGGTCACAGGTCCTTCCACAGACAAAAGCCTCTGAAGACCCTTATGACGAAAACTCATAGATTCAACTCACTTAGCTTGAAGGACTCTATCTCCCTCAGCCAAGTTTCCAGTCACAACTCACATTCCTTGCAGGAGAATCCCAAGATCCTAACCAAGATGACCCTGATCCAGAGCTCGAAGACTACTACTGCACAAGGAGACACTATGACTCAGATGACCCTAACCCAGAAGGCATCATGAACCTATCCCCTAGCCATGAGCCTATCTATAAAAACTAGAGAACATCATCATTAGAAAATCTCCTTTTGGGATACTCTGAAGATAAAATGGGACCTGCCAGATTCCTACTTTATATCACCATCTACTTTTACTTTATTAAAGTAGTTTGTCCTGTAGTCTATTTTGTCCTCTTGTAATAAATGGAGTGGTTGTCATTATTAGGTATCATTATGAGAGTGGTTAGTAGTAAATGTCTGGTTATAATGACGTCTACTATTACATCTACCCGTCATAATAATGTGTACTATTAGGACTTTGTCTTGTAGTGGCCCCGAGCTTCTATATAAACCCCACTCTGCCATCAGTTACAGGCAGAAGGAGTTGTATCAACTTCCTTGTATAATACTAGTGTGCTTTCCTCATGAGTTCTTTCTAAATTTCTCTCTCCTTCTGAAAGCCTCACTTATAATGTCTTTCTTCTGTCACCAAAGATTCTAAGTATGTTCTGCACTTGCCTCTTTAAGAGGATCCTATGCATCAGAAAATAGAATTTGACCACGATCTATGAAGGAGTGTTTAGTGACAATCTTTCCAGTTACCCTAGATCTGGTATTCAAAGCTGAGAGTTCTAACGTGGCCCGTTGATGAGTTGAGAATGAGTGGCCTTACCTGGACTAAAGCCTTGGATATCAGACTATGTTAGCTTGGTCCGGTTGAGCTAACACCCCCGAGTGAGCTTACCTGGACTAAAATCTGTTTTTTCTAATTTTCCCTATTCACATTATTTAAGTTGAGGATAAACTTAAAAAGCATTTTATTATCCCCATTTTTTAATATAAGAATTAATTAATTGAGAATTATATTTGATCTTAACTATAAGACTTTAATCTATTTTTTCTCCCAAATCTATAATTTATTTTTTAAAGTATTTATATTCATCATACAAAAAAATGTATCTCTATTAATTACACATATTAAAAGAATTTTCAATGATAATCATAATTATAAGGACACTTTAAAGAATTTAATTCTTATTTGTTCTAAATAATTAACTTATGAAATTTTTTAAATTTATTTAAATTAGTTAAGTAGCTCACTGATTTATAGCAGAAATCTAAGAGTGTGTGTAGATATATATGAGAATTTCTTTTAAAATAAATAATAAATAATCTCCCCCGGCCCTACTGCGCGCGCGGAGTCAGGGGCCAGGACTCGCAGCCTAGCACCAAAGGAAATAAAATTTCAAGACCACTGTTTCGACTTCGCGCGAGGGAAACCAATGGAGCACCGGCAAGATACGGTGTCTTCACTGTCAAAGCGACCATCTCTGAAATCCGGTTCCCAATTCAACAAATATAACATCTGGAAAGACAAGGTTGTTTTCCCCACATCCCCTCTTTTCTGCGAGGATCATCATTTTACTTGTCGATCGTATATACGACTATCACTTCGGTCTTGTTTTCGTTAGTCAATTGATGCAACTTCATTGCATGTTTAATTCGTGTTCTTTAACTTGTTGCGGTCTTGTTTGGTAGTTTGTTTTTGATGCAACATATCCTGGAAGAGGATATAACAGTTAATTGTTGGAAATTTTAGTTGAGGGAAAGTTGCTATAAAAGGGTACGAGAGGACAGAACCCGCTTGCTCTGGAAAATGAGGCTGCCCACTTCTCAGTCAGGCAAACCAAATCAAGAGGTTCTCTTTGTCAGCCAACAATTTCTTTTTTTTTTTTTTTTAAATTTGAAAATGATTTGTTGATAATTTTGTGGACATTAGCTTGATTGGTCATCTGCACTTTACCCATGGCGGCTAGTTGCTTCCAGTGTGAGTTGGATGATATGATTATGGTCGTGGATTGCTTTTGCTTTCACTTGTGACACTTTTACCTTTCAGTTTGATGATCAACCCATTGTAGCTGATTAAGTCGTTCACTGCACTCCACATTGTGCTATAATTGATGTTCTATCTAATGGAGCATTCAATTGCAAACATAAACTGGTGTCATTTATCTTTATGGTCACATAGTTGACATGGATTAATGTGATTCTTTATCACATGTAGATTGCTGTGTCAGTCAACTTTGGGGACGTATCATCAGAATAATTGGACCATTGGCAACAGAATTTGATGTAAACAATTGAACTTTACATTAATAACGGGTCTTGGTTGCAGATATTTAAAAACTAAGTGGAAGCATGGGAACTAGAGAAATTTTATCAAGACTTCTAAAAATTAGAAGATGCAGAAGTGAATTTTAAGCTTAGTATTAATTCCAGGTGTGCAAGGATGCTGCATAGCTTGCTGCAACAGTGTTCACATAGATAAAAAAACATATTCTAGAATAACTGGAAGATGGAGCAATTTGCTAACGATGTGTCTGTATATAGTTGAAGTAGTTTGTTTCAGCTCATATGCTGAAGAATTTGTTAATAATATGAATATGTGATATGTTGATGCATTCTGAAAATGTAATTGCTTTGTTATTCAGACTGGTAATAGATCAGTTTATAAAATTGTTGTACTCTGGTTGCATTCCTGTATTTTAATATCATAGATGTGATTGCATTTGGCTAATTTTGAAATAAATACCTGGTGGCAGGATAGAGTCAGATCTACATTCCAGGATATCGTATATGATGAACTGAAGAAAATGAAGGAATCATCATTATGTCACACAATTGAGGATCTAACCTCTGATTCCGAGTTTGATGACTTGTTATGGGAGTATGATGGTGTTCATACTACTTATCAGGGTGAATGTGAAGAGATACTGATAGAAATGCAAAGAATATTTTATGAAGATCTAGAAGCTGAACCAAATATAAAAGGTAAATTCTTATTACTTGTTTCAAACAACTTTGTGCTCTTCCAAAACTGTTATAGGGCAGAGAGAGATGAAATATTTTTTGTCCTATTTACAAGGCAGAAAGAGAAACTTTCATTTGTTACTGTGTTGACTTTATTTTCTTGTGCTGTAATGTGTATTAAATAGAAATAAAGTTAAAAAATCATTGAATTTTAATGCGGAGTCAATGAAGTTTAAGGCTTTTTTATTTTTTGGTTTGTGTGAAACCTGTTGGAAGTGACTTATAAATGGGGCTAGAGGAATATTGTTGTAGCAATAAACTATGTTAGAGGCCTGTGAGTTTTGCCATGATACGACATATAGAGGTGCAACTGTTTCTGAAGAATGTTTATTTATTATTTTTCTTTGCCTCTTCTGGTTATCTTCTAACAAGGATTTGGTTTTCTGACATTAATTAATCTGTTCAGAGTTTTCCCCTCTTGGTGCATGCATTATTGGCCTGTGTGTTTTTACATCTTCTTATCATTTAATGTCTACTTCATCCTCAATGGTTTTGCTGATAACAGAAAACATTTGGAAATATTTTGTAGCGAAAACTCCACTCGCTTATTGGCATCCTGTTAGTTTGGATTCTGTTCCATTGGCCATTTGATAGAACCTTTAAATTGTCCATTTATATTTTTGTTTTGGTGACTAGTTCTGAAGAGATAAAGAGATGAACCATGTGAAGGAACTGAGTTTTCTTAGGTGAACAAGGAAAAAGAGCACTTATTCAAATATACCAGAGAGCTATGTGCGACCGCCAGTTTGACTTAGCTGTTGTAATTGTCTTAATTCACTTGCTTGTTTGAAAATCTTACTTGTCTCCTTGCAGCTATTGATAGCATAAGTGAAACATGGGAAGATGAAGAAGATGAGTTCTTGGCTCGTGCACTTTTTGAGCATATGCAGCTAAATGCAGATGAGGTGAATTTTTTACAAGCATGGCATTTTTATGCATAAATGTGCAGCATGAGCATAGCTTATATGCATGAATTCATATTCAACGTCATAATATAATCATAAGTTTTCTGGTTGTAAAATATTGAAGTATGGGATTTTCATATGGGATTTATATGGATCTTGAGCTCCAACCTTCTAGCTTTGGCCTGTGAGGCATGATTCTTGTGAGCTGCCTTTGAGGCATTATTCTTGTGAGCTGCCATCACAAGTTCTTTGCCTAGGGCTAGAAAGCTGCCACACAGACTGCTTGCGTGGGCAATGAAGCTGCAAAGTATGGTGGCAGAATATTAGTACCTTGTTGCAAAATATGGAACTTGAATCTTATATCATGAGTTTCCAATGTGGGATTTGCTTGGACTTAGGGATCTCCCACCTAATAAGTTTGCTTATGAGTGGAGGATTTCCAATAAGGTCTCCATCATTAACAGGTTTTTACTTTAATGTAATTCGATTGATAATGTGATGACTCATATGTGTTTCTTTACTCTTGTGTATGCATGAACTGGCTGAGTTTTTTGGTAGAGATAACAAGAGAACTTCTAGATGATTGGTGAGGCTAATAGAGACAAATAGAGGGTGAGTGCAGGGGAAGATATAGGTAATTTAGGCATTCAATTGTGAGGCTCTGGTACTTCAAAGTTCTGGGAACATTTTCTTGTTTTCTTTTCTGTTCTCTATCATTGGGTCTGTTGTCTTCTGTTATTAAAGGGAAATACTCGGTATCTAACAATAACAGCATTCACATGATATAATGGGCTCATTCTATGGGCAAACTTGAAATTTTGTTGACTTTACTCAATATTTGTCATCTCGCTTTTTTAAGAAATGCAATACACGTGTTTTGTCTAACTTTTCCTTTAGGCTTTTTCCTTGTTTGATATGTTGAAGATTTGGAGGGCTCTATTGAGCTATTGTATTTTTTCCCCCCTATTCTGCGTTTGTCCTCTTCGATCTTGGGTTGCTCTATTGAGCTAATGTAATTTGTTTTTGCAACGTAGAGATATCCTTTTAAATTTTAATACTTTGAGGGGACTATAGCTTTTGTCTTCCTTTTATGTCCCTTCTTTATCTTTCTCTCATTCGCATTCGAGTTAGTGGAGCATAGATTATTAACAGCATCATGAAAAGTTTTGATTGAACACAAACACTCTAGAATTATATATGAGTTCAGTGGTCTGCTAGGGCTTTAAGATGCCAGCTTTCTTCCATTGAAACCTTAATATATTTTTCCTTTGACCTTTTCCAGTCTTAGTCTTTGATCTTTGTTTTATAGACCCTTTCCTCACTCGCTCTAGGAACTCTTACTAAAGGTTTCCTTGTGTCTCATCCTCCCATACATTTCATCCAGGTTATTTTACACTTCCTATAGCCCACCTTTCGTTCACTCCCTCTCAATATCTTCCAAAAAATACCTGAAACCTTTTGATTTTCTATGGAGATGATTTGAGTACCACTGCTTGCTAGGACCTAAATCCATCTATTTATATCTGGGTGCCTGTCTCTATGGATCTCTTTTAACTGATTATCTGAACACAGCGTCTGCAAGATTTTTTTTATTTGGCTTGGGCTTTTATACATGATACTAGACTTTACTTTTTCAGTTTCTTCATCAAAAACATGGCTGCCTGATATCTCTTTTTGCCATTCATCAAAAACATGCCATTCTTTATTTTAATTGTCCGCATGCCCTTTTAATTACTACATGCGTTGGCACCACTAAACTACAACTTCCTTAGAACATGTATTCTGCGTTTATGACTTTATGTTATAAACTTGTCCATTTATTTGTAGCCTCTTCACACACTGTTCTTGTCCAAATTAACTTGCATGAAGACTCTAATTTTGATGATTAAAATTTGATAATGATGATAGACCCATAGACAAGAGATTTGGTGCCCTATTTGCAAACAAGGAGAACTTAAAGAGAGTCGTCATCATATATGCTGTACCCATTGTGATCTTCGACTAAATAAAGACAACGAGGTACTCACTTTTCCTCGCTTTGTCAGGACTTTTATACTCTACCATTTAAGAACTGATTTATTTATTTAGTTGTGAACTTCTAATGACGTTTAGGATGTTGTTTTAGATTTATAAGTCCTAGTCACTATCAGTAATTCATTCTGTTCATCGTTGTCATGGATTTCATAAGTTTATTGGAGAATAATCTTCTGGGACTTATTTTTTCTTGCATAGCTACGTAAGCTAGAATTGTGCAAAAGATGTGTGGTAAGGTGTATTTAGATAAGTGTTACCTAAGCCTTAGTTTTGGAACCAAAACAACCTGTCTTGTGATGTCAATGGCTGTGTTGATCATATGCAAGTATCTTGGTTTATGAAAGAATTCTGAGTTTTGGTTTGTGCTTTAGGAAACATAGGAAACAAAAATGTGGCTTCTCGCTTTTTCATGAAAACAGTACCAAACTGCCATTATGCCAAATAATTCATTATGGGTTATTAAAAAATGATCATTAGATAATGGCTGTTGATAATTCTGTATTTTTGGTTGTGATTTCTTTTCCATTTGATAGGATCATAGTCTTAGACGGTCACGGTCCATTTGGTTGAAGGGATTTTGAGGGGAGGGGGGATTTGAAGGGATCAATAAAATCCCTCGTCTCCGTGAATTGGAAGATTTGAAAGAATTATTAAGTCCCTTCCCCCCTCACTCTCCTCCATTAAATTCCTCACTCCCCTCCACCCTGCTGAACCAAACGATGTGTGTGAAACAGTAATCTAAACCCACGTTTAGCTGATGGGAAAAAACACACTGAATATGCTAAACTTTCTGAGAGCGTGTTTCGTTTTCTTCAAAAACGGGTGAAGATAAAATGAGGGCTGGAAAAAACAAACTGAAAAATGTGGAAAAAACCCCGATAGATGTTAATAATTCATCTTCCTTTACCGTGAAAAAAAAAATGCAACTTATTCTGATTAATAATGTTTCAGCTCACTCTGGACTTCCTCCGAGAGCGACTAGCGGAAGCTCATACTGAGCATTTTGACAAAGGCTGCAGATTGAAGCCCAAATTCTGTCTCAGGACGAGATTTAATTTAACTGCATTATATATTTCATGTGAAGGCTGTGATACATTTGAAGTTGTAATTTAAAATTATTGTTGAATTCTTTTTTTAGAAAAAGAAATTTTGGGTGTTTTTAGGTTTAGCTCAATGAGTTAATTCTTACTACTCCCTGGTGTTTGAAAGTAGTTTTAAGTGTTATCGTGAAAATAGTTTGTGATTGTGGCCGGCTTTTTAAAAATTAAAACCCAGTAGAAATGAAAGGCAGAAAAAGTATTTGACCGTTAAGGGTAGCATTTGGTATCATCATCATCATCATCATCCTAAGTTTATCAAGACTTTGAAAATACATTTGTAGAAATATAAAAACTGAACTTGGTATGTAAAATACTTGTTAGGTTTTTAACACAGGATGTAATTGTTGAGTTGATTTTGATCCTGAGTATAATAATTTGCTTCTCAAACTACTCGTTTTAAATATAAGAGTTAGTTGACTAATTTGAGTAGATTAAAAAAATAAGTTAAGTTAATTATTTGCAGTAAATATGTGTTGTTTTTTTTTAAAATATTCTTACTAATTAAGTGTATTGACTAAAATTACTATTACTACTATTATTAAAAGGATTACTTTGGAAAAAAATACATAAACATGAGAGATAAAATGAATTAGGGTCTTATATTTAGAACTAAAATAAAAGTCAAACGAGATTTTATATTAAGAAACAAAGGTAGTACTTATAAATTTTTTTCTAAATTATTACTTTCTCAACTATAATTAAATAAGAGATGGAGGAAGGATATTAAAGATGGAAGAAGATGATTATGGTATTTTAGAAAAAAAAAACATGCTGTACTCTGATAATTAATTAACTTGCTTATCTTTCTTAATGTAATTAAATTAGCTAAAAAGGTTTTATAATAAGAATTGCAAGAATATCTCAATTTCTATAATGTTCAAGGTATCTAGTATTGGGTCCATTTCCGAAGCCCATGAATGTTGCTAATTATGCTAGAGACCAGGGAAGAGGTCTCCAAGGCTAAGTGTCAAAGAGGTTGAGTCACATGTTTTTTACCATCTTGGAAACTTAATACAACACTCAATTGATTAATATGAAGAGATTAAGAAAGTAAAATAAATTATTTTAAAATATTTATATTTATTATTTTTTAAATTAATTTTTCTGACTTATAAATTGATATATAATTTAGTAGTGCACATGTAATTAGTTAACTGCATTTTATAATTTAATTAGTTTTCTTAATATCTTCAAATTAATTAACTGTATTTTATATTATGAACCGAAGTGCGTAGTAATCTGTTAAAAAAATTATTTTAAGTACAAGGGGCTCTCAAAAGACCTGAGCACTGTCGTAATGTATGCAATGAGGATCATGTATTGTTGTCTGATTATTTGCTGGTTTTTAACTGATTATTTATTACCTCTAACTTTAAATATTAGAGCTAGTCAGGGGTTAGATTTGATTTTAGGGAAAACCATATTGAAGGTACCTATACTTTCTCTCAATTTTTAATTTGATACCTATGTGTTTTTTTCCCTTTAATTAAACATTTAATTTTATCTTTTTAGTAACATTAGCTCTTATAACTCTGTTCTATTGATATTTTTAGTCTCTACATAAGGATTAATGATGTTAACAGAGGAAAAATAAAGATTTAGTTAAGAACAAAAAACACATAGGTACCAAATTGAAAATTGAAAAAAAGTATAGGTACCTCCAATATGGTTTTCCCTTGATTTTAAATAAAGATTTTAATTCACTGTCTTCCAAATTTACAATGTTTTTGTCCGAAATATATTTGTTGATTGTAAAGACTTTCCACCAAAAAAATAGTTCTAATGTATATGATTACATAGAATAATTTGGAAAAGTTAACACACATTTATTATAAATAATCAACTTAATTAATTTTTTTAATTTGTCCAAATTAATTATCTTGCTATTATATCAAGGACTAGGGGTGGTATTTATGTACATAATGTTATGTTAAAAAAAACAAATTATTTGTTGACCACCCCCCCCAAAAAAACACTAAACGCTAAACTGTTTTAGATTACGAATAAACCAGCTGGTAAAGACATATTTAGCCAAATGAAAAAAGGGAAGACAGTACCTTTTTGAAAAAAAAAAATATTACATTCCAATTTTCTACGAAAGGGGATTAATATAAGGGAAAATTTCATTTAAAGACCGTAAGTGAGAATTTATATCAATAAGCCCTCAAAACATTCTGAAATATCACTGCAGGACCAAGAAACCAAATTGAAATTAAAATTAAGAGTAAGATTATAATAATACCTCTTACTTTTATTTATTAAAAAAATAAATATTAATGGTCGCCAAAGTTCCGGCCACTGGTGCTCAAGTGGCCGCCACTGGAGGTTGGATCTTCGGTGGCTGCTACTGTAGCTCCGGTGGCTGGAATTTTTTTTTAAAAAAACAAGATAGCCAAGGGAAAGTTTGAACTCATGACCCTTTGGCATACTAAAAGTGATGCAACCACCAAGCCAAGCAAACTATTTAATTATATGATGCAAATAAAAATATATATAACAAAACAAATGCAAGTGTTTAAATGTAAGTGAACAAGTGAAATTCGACAGTTTATAAGTAAAATTCAATAATTTACAATAAAAATTTATAGATTTACAACCTAAATTCGGCTATTCACAAGAAACATAAGAGAATTCACAACCCAAAATTTAAGTGTTTTAGTATAAGTGAATAAGTGAAATTCGACAATTTACAAGTGAAATTTAGTATTTACAATGAAAATTTTATTTGCTCATTTATACTTAAACACTTGCATTTGAAGTTGTAAATTCTATTATATTATTTGTAAATTGTCGAATTTTATTTGTTTACTTACACTCAAACACTTATATTTTAGATTGTGAATGATACCTACTTAAAATTAACACTTGTGTAGTATGGGTGGTCAATTCCGAAACGGCATTTCAATCGACTACTTCACTTTCGTACATCATATTTTCATCTGGTATATATTCTAATCATAGACTTGTTAAATCCTCATATTGAACTTGTTATTTTCAACTATTAAACAAAACTTATTATTTTCATTTATGAAGTTATTTCCAATCGTAAATTTGTTATTTCTAATTATAAACTTGTTAAAAGAAAAAAAGACAGAAAATGCTAACTTAACTTCAAAATGACCAGAACATCCGCTGAATTTGCAAAATGCCATTTTGGTCACATGAGACCAAATTGGTATTATCATGTCAAATAAAAAGACTAAATTGCCCTTCCTTTTAAATATTATTTTTAAAATATCACAACCTCACTGGCCAGCTGGTCACTGGAGCTCCAGCAACGATAGTCACCGGAACTGCGGTGATCGGCCGACAATTGGTCACCGGAGCTTCGTCGGTCATAAATTTTTTTTTGAAAATTTTTACAACTTCAGTATAACGGTTAACAACTTTTGTGACGCTATTAACAACTTCAGTATAATAGTTAACAACAGGTTTTTTAGAAAATTCAACAAGCTCAGTGGCCGGAAATAAATTTTTTGAAAATTTTTACAACTTCAGTATAGCGGTTAACAACTTTTATAACGCTATTAACAACTTCAATATAGCGGTTAACAATAGGTTTTTGGGAAAATTTTAATAATTGGACGCCGGAGCTTCGGCTGCCAGAAACAATTTTCTTGAAAATTTTTACAATTTTAGTATAACGGTTAACAACTTTTGTAACGCTATTAATAACTTCAGTATAGTAGTTAACAACAGGTTTTCTGGAAAATTCAACAAGCTCCGGTGGCCGAAAATAATTTTTTTGAAAATTTTTATAACTTCAGCATAACAGTTAACAACTTTTGTAACGTTATTAACAACTTCTGTATAGCGGTTAACAACAGGTTTTTAGAGAAATTCAACAATTGGTCGCCAAAGTTCAGGCATTTTTTTGAAAATTTTTACAACTTCAGTATAACAGTTAACAACTTTTGTAATGCTATTAACAACTTTAGTATAGCGGTTAACAACGGGTTTTTAGAGAAATTCAACAATTGGTCACCGGAGCTGTGACGGCCAAAAACAATTTTTTTTGAAAATTTTTACAACTTCAGTATAGCGGTTAACAACTTTTGTAACACTATTCATAACTTCAGTATAGCGGTTAACAACAGGTTTTTAGGAAAATTCATCAATTGGTCACCGAAGCTTCGGCGGCCGGAAACAATTTTTTTTGAAAATTTTTACAACTTCAGTATAATAGTTAATAACTTTTGTAACGCTATTAACAATTTCAATATACCGGTTAACAACAGGTTTTTCGGAAAATTCAACAATTGGTCGCCAGAGTTTCGACGGCTGGAAACAATTTTTTTTTTAAATTTTTATAATTTCAGTATAACGGTTAACAATTTTTGTAATGTTATTAACAACTTCAGTATAGCAGTTAACAATAAGTTTTTCAAAAAAATTCAAAAAGTAGCATTTTTACAACTTCAATAATGTCGTTAACAAGTTCTGTAACTCTATCAACAACTTTAGTATAGTATTTAACAACAGGTTTTCTAAAAAATTTGAAAAATGGCATTTTTATAACTTTAAAAACTACTCTTTTTTTTTTTGAAAAATTTTACAACTTCAGTATAATGATTAACAACTTTTGTATCTCTATTAACAACTTTGATATAATAGTTAACAACAAGTTTTTGAGTTTGTTAACGGCATTACTGAAGTTGTAAAAATGTTATTTTTTAAATTTCCTGAAAAATCTGTTGTTAACCGCTATATTGAAGTTGTTAATAATATTACAAAAATTGTTAACCGTTATACTGAAGTTGTAAAAATTTTAAAAAAATTATATCTGCCTACCAGAGCTTGTTGAATTTTCCAGAAAACCTGTTGTTCACTTTTATACTAAAGTTATTAATAGCGTTACAAAAGTTGTAAAACGTTATACTGAAGTTGTAAAAATTTTCAAGAAAATTGTTTCCAACCGTTAGAGTTTCGGTGTCCAATTATTGAATTTCTCCAAAAACTTGTTGTTAACCGCTATACTAAAGTTGTTAATAGCATTACAAAAGTTGTTAACTGTTATACTGAAGTTGTAAAAATTTTAAAAAAATTTATTTCCGGCAGCCGAAACTTGTTGAATTTTTCAAAAAACCTGTTGTTAACTGTTATACTAAAGTTGTTAATAGCATCACAAAAGTTGTTAATCGTTATACTAAAGGTGTAAAAATTTCAAAAAAAAAAAATTTCTGGCCGACGGAGCTCCAATGACCAATTATTGGCCGGTCGCCAGAGCTTCGGTGACTGCCGTTGCCGAAGCTCCGGCGATCGACCGGCCAGTGAGGCTGTGATAGTTTAAAAACAATATTTAAAAGGAAGGGCAATTTGGTCTTTTCATTTGACATGATAATGCCAATTTAGTTTCATGCGACCAAAATGGCATTTTGCAAATTCAGCGGAGAACAGTCATTCTGAAATTAAGTTAGTATTTTTCTGTCTTTTTCCCCTTGTTAAACCCTCATACTAAATTTGTTATTTTTAACAATTTAACAAACTTATTATTTCCGTTTATAAACTTGTGAAATCCTGAGCTTGTTATTTTCAAGTTAATATTTAACTATTATTTCAAATAAACTTAACTTGTTATGTCTTACTCGCTCATTCCATTACGCGTTGGACACTATCAATATCATGATCTACGGATGATATTGCCATTGCTACTAATCTACTGCTAGATATAACGTGCGCGCGCGTGTGTGAATGGTAACCGAAAAGTCCAAAAATGATTTCGATGATACCTCCTTATTCCGATTATACCGCCTTATCTCGACTATTAACAAAAGACTTACTAATAAAGTTCTTTTTCCATTCAGATCTGACCAAGCTTTTTTTTTTTTTTCTTCCTTTTTTTAGCCGAATGACCAAGCATTTTCTGAGTTGCCAAGAAACATTAATTTAGCATAGCAGTCGTCTACGTTGCAAATTGTAAGTAGTCATTTTGCTCTAAAATCATGGACCCAGGGCTTTACCATGGCAGTAGATAAGAGATTTGGTGGGTCATTAAGCAATGCAGACAATCTCACCTGCTGAAGGTGATGGCAACAAATCTGGAGATCAGCGAAAAATGATGAAGAACCAGAGAAATCGAAAGGGAAGGAATCTCGGCATTTCTATTAGCTGACATCAAAACGAGAATGATACCCATTTCCATACTGAGAACAAGCTGTCCTCATAGGTGGGGTAGGGACGAGGAAGGAGGGGAGAAAGAGGAAAGAGAGGGAGAGGAAGAGGAAGAGAAGAAAAAAAGAGAGGGGATGAAAAAAACGATACAGGCTTCGGCTGTTTTCTTTTGTGTTTTTAACAAGGAGGGTATTTCAGTCTTTTTATCAATATTTTATAATTCATATTTAAAACCCGGTTTTCAATAGCAATTTTGTGAGTTGAAGAACTTAAATTACAATTTTATATTTTTTAGGATCTTTATTTCTCGACTTTCCCATGATAAATCCATATATCCTAGAAATAATAATAAAATATGAAAATTAGACAATTGATAGTCATCAAGGAAGGGAGTCTACATGATGAAACTAGTTTTCAATTAAAAAATTATTAAAATGTATTGCAATGCTGTTATTTTTTAATCAAAAGTTACTAATATCTATGAAAATATAGTCAATACCCATACAAAAATTATTAATAGTATGAAAAACTGGCTTGCTGTTTTTTAATAAAAAATTATTAAAATATGTTGCGATGCTTTTTTTTTTAATCAAAAATTATTAATACTTATTGAAATATAGTTAATATCTATACGAAAATTATCAATAACCTGAAAATAAAACTTTAGGTTTCCTTCTCATTTTGATATTATGAAATTTCATGTATTTTTGTAGGGATTTTCGGATTTTCCCAATAGGTAATATATAAAATTTCAGCCTGTCTTAATTTGATTGGAAACAAGTACCTTAAGTACAAAAGACAAAATGTACAAGTTTTTTTCTTTTTTAATATTCCTTTAAATTTTTTTAATACACATTTTACCTTTATTTTTTTCTGTCTCTATTTTAAAGTCTTTTAAATTTTCTTAGAAAAATTAATCTACGAGTCCTTATACAGTTCATCTCTATTTTGAGTCACGACTATATTATTTTATTTAACTTAGGTTCTTACTGTCCGATTCGGTAATTTTAATTTACAGAGCTTTTAAAATTTTAGTTATAGAAATGCAAGGATATTAAAATGGGATTAGATAAAATGAAAAAAATTTATATAATCCATGAAATACTATAAATTAAAATGATAGACTTTACACTGAAGGCCGAATTAACAAATCAAACTATAAAGTTCTAATTCAAAATTGAGATAAACAATAAGGACTTAGGGTTAATTTTTTCCCTTTTTCCTATTAAAATTAATTAACGAGCTAGCCAGCAAATATACACATTTTTTGGCAATAGAAAATTCAGGTAAATTAGTCCCCAGGGTTAGAACTCTGCCCAATGCTAGAGTAGAGCTCATGAATCGAAAGAGTTCTTACAGAAATATTTACAAATGATCAACCAATTCAGATCTGCGGAGGGATTACCATGCACACTTCTATGAAGCACATAAACAGTTAAGTACTTACCAACCGAGTTACAATTTTGTAGTACTAAAAGAAAATGAATACTATTAGAACTTTTTTTTAAAAATAACAATTCTTGTCCATATTTTGAGCTCGAAATAAATTCAATAATAGTCGTATGTGTTTTTACTGCGTACTGGTTACTATAATTAGCAGCAGACTCAGGGAAGGAATGAGATTCATGATGAGTCAAACGAAGATTTCTAACTCTTATTAACTACGTGCTGAAGAAGCATAAAGTTACAATTTAGAGTAATATACTGACGAGCTAATGACGCAAAAAATATTACAGGCTTAATCAAAACCATCATACAAGACTCTACATTAACTCACTAAACAAGCCTTCAGGAGGGAAAAACTGACCTTCAAGAGACTCTAAGCGCAATGTTGAAGAATTCAACACTCAAATCTGCCTGAAAACCTTCTCAGCAGCTGCTATAGTCTTTTTTATGTCATCAGAAGTATGTGCCAAGCTGGTGAATCCGGCCTCAAATTGTGATGGTGCCAAATACACACCTTCTTCCAACATTCCCCAATAGAACCTAGCAAACTTAGCCGTGTCACTCTTTTTGGCATCGGCAAAATTGTAGACTGGCCCTTCAGTGAAAAAGAAACCAAACATGCCCCTTATATAGCCGCCACATATCGCATGACCTGCTCTCTTCCCGGCTTCAATGATACCTTGAGTTAGCTCGCCTGTTATTTTATCCAAATACTCATAGGTTCCCGGCTCCTTGATGCGCTTCAGAGTTTGTATGCCTGCAGTCATGGCCAAAGGATTGCCACTCAAGGTTCCAGCCTGGTACATAGGTCCTGCCGGTGCCACCATCTCCATAATATCTTTCCTCCCTCCATATGCACCTACCGGTAGACCCCCACCAATGATTTTTCCAAGAGTGGTTAAGTCAGGAGTGATGCCAAAATATTCTTGAGCTCCACCATAAGACAAACGGAATCCAGTCATAACTTCATCGAAAACTAGGAGGCTATCGTTTTCCTTGGTGATTTTGCGTAAGAAATTAAGAAAGTCAGGTCTGGGAGGAACAAAACCAGAGTTTCCAACTACAGGTTCGAGGATGACTGCTGCTATCTCTCCTTTGTTTGACTCAAAGAGGCTCTCAACAGCTAAGAAGTCATTGAATGGCGCTGTAAGGGTTTCATAGGTGGCTGCTCTTGGAACACCAGGGGAGTCAGGAAGTCCTAAGGTGGCAACTCCACTACCAGCCTTAACAAGAAAAGGATCGGCATGACCATGGTAACAGCCCTCAAACTTGATGATCTTCTCCCTGCCAGTATAAGCACGGGCCAGGCGGAGGACCCCCATGCATGCTTCGGTGCCTGAGTTAACAAATCGAACCATTTCAATGCTTGGCACTGCATCAATAACCATCTCTGCCAGAATATTTTCCAGAAGACAAGGAGCGCCAAAGCTGGTTCCCTTTTTCATTGTCTCAGCTAGAGCTGCAAGCACCTGAAATGTATACAAAGCTTAAAATTTTGCCATGAAGCGAGGTTCAGAACATATTACCTAGCAATGTCTAGATATCTCAGAGTAATCTCAGACATAGTGAATTGGCAATGTTTTAGTTTCTTATATAGGAGGATGGGGAAATTGATAGAGACATTTCTCATAGAATACAAGCTGGCTAGTTAAAGTGGAGGAAAGCTGCCGGAGTTATTTGCGATAAAAAGGTACCTGAGAAACTTAAAGGAAAATTTTATCGGACTGCTATAAGACCAGCTATGATGCATGGTAGTGAATGTTGGGCAATAAAAGGAAAACAAGAGCACAAAGTCAAAGTAACAGAAATGAGGATGTTGAGATGGATGTGTGGTTATACAAGAAAAGATAAGATTCGAAATGAAAAGATCAGGACAAGAGTCGGTGTGGCACCTATCCAAGAGAAAATGGTTGAAAATCGCTTAAGATGGTTTGAACATGTGCAGAGAAGGCCCTTGGAGGCCCCGGTGAGGAGGGTGGATCAAACAAGATGGAGTCCCATAAAAAGAGGCAAGGGAAGACCGAGAAGAACGCTGAATGAGGTCATTAAACGAGACCTCCTAATCAACAACATATCTAAGGATTGGGTTGTTGACAGAGCACGATGGCGTCGTGTGATTCATGTAGCCGACCCCACCTAGTGGGATAAGGCTTGTTGTTTGTTTGTTTTCTATGAAATCATCATAAGAAACCAAATAAAAGATTTCTCAAGCTAGCTGTGTCCATAGGACAAAACAAAATCAACAGTAACAAGCATGATTTCACAGGGATAAAAAAAAGTGCCAGATATTTAAAACATAACGAGTAACAGCTGAATTATATTGGGAAAGAACAGAACCTCATCATCAGCATGACCGATTATTGCAGGTCCCCAAGAACCCACATAGTCAATGTACTCGTTGCCATCTATGTCCCACATACGAGATCCCTTGACAGAATCAATCACAATTGGCTGTCCACCAACAGATTTAAAGGCCCGAACAGGAGAATTGACACCCCCGGGCATTAATTCCTATAAGAAACAAAAAAGAGGATTTGAATTAATCAGTTACAACAGGCCAAACCCAAATAATCAGCGAAACAAACGAAAACAAGTCATCATCGTAACTACAAGATATCATTAAGTTGTGAAATTCTATATCTTATATGTTTCATTAGTTCATATTTCTGACAATGCAAATAAAGCATGTCACACAAATCTGAAACGGGGAAAAAAAGCTATGTAGCATCTCTAATTACAGATGAATGCAAGTTAAAGCAAACAAATAGTCCACAAGATACCGACGCCGAATTCCGACATGTTAAGTGTTAGGTTAAAATTACAAAACTTTTTGGCTGATCAATTATGTTTTACATAAAATCCCCAGCATTCAATCCAATTTCAAAACTCCCATAATTTCAAAGGCAAAAGAAGAAAGCTCATTGCGAGGAAATGAATCAATCAATCAATCACTAAGAAAAAAGTAGGGGATAACAGGAATTAGGTCCACAGTACCTTAGCAGCAGCGAAGGCTTCTTCGGACTTGCGAAGGGAGAGGTTCTTCTTGGTTTTCTCATCGACGGAAACGGCCATTGTGACGGAATGGGCTCGAGAACGGATCGTAGAGCGTGATAGCCCAAGGCTGAGGCCAGCTCCGGTGATAGCTGAAGCAGCCATTTAGCTTCAAAGTGAAGCGACCAAAGAGAAAGAAAAGCGAAGAAGAAGAAGAAGGAGCAGAGGAGGAGGAGGAAGACGACGACGACGACGACGACAACGATAAGAATTCAGATTGCGAAATGCGTTGCCTTAGCTTTTGACTGTGACTAAAGGCCAAGAGCGGCCAGCGATTCCGATTTTAAAAAAAATTATGAGCTTCACCAAACACATAATAAAGTTTATCAAAGTATTTCTGCGATTCTTAATATAAGATCTATTTAACAATTTAATTTGATTAAAAAAATTAGATAGATTAGTTAATTATAAGAAATATAACATGTTTTTTCTTTAAATATCATAATTCTAAATTACAAAAGTTTAAAACCGCAGTAATATTAAAAAGCTAATAGTGATCATTAACATATTTAATTTTTTAAAGTCTACGATTTTAAACTTTCACTTACACCCAAAAAAATTCCAATATTTCATGTTTCTTAAAAATTTTCAGAACAAATTTATATTTTAATCCAAATATTAATTTATAAGCTTCACATGGTTTTTAATGAAGGTCCTTGTATCTTTTATTAGTCCTGACAGTTTCTTCGATTATAGGCATTAGAATGATTAAGTCATACGTAAGTTGCAGCAAAATACAAAAAAAAAAAAAAGAATTTTAAAAATGGCGTAGTAAAATTTATTTATCATCCACATTATAAAAATTTATTATATTCATAATTGTCTCATTGTATTTATATGATTTGTACTTTGGATGACTTTTTTTTTTTGGCGTCCTTGAGGCAAAATTAATAAAGATGGATGCTGAGTGGATTCATCAACTACTAATAGTTTCTCTCTTAAATTAACAGATTATAAGTATAAAAATCAATGCATATAATTGAGAAAATTGTAAGAACTTAATAAAAAGAGAAAAATTACAATGACTTAATTAAAAAATTAAGTGAAACTATAACAACGTATGGGTTTTTTTTTTTTAGTTTCTCATAACTTTTAATTTTCAAAGGGTTATATGACAATTGACTTATTTGTAATAATGTGATGCAAAATATTACATAAAATAAATTCTAATCTTTGATATATATATATATATATATATATATATATCTGTGCGTGTATATGTATGAAATGACTAGAACATTTTTAACTATGAACGACTTTTCTTAATTGATGACAACGACAATTTAAGCAATAAATAAACTTTCATCTCCTAAAATTTTAGGTTTGGGTTATAAATAGTTTATTTTTTAATAATAAAAAATTTAAATAAGTTGAGTTCCAGAAACTTATCAGAATCAGGATATACCTCTATACTCAAAGAACACTTACAGAGATAGCTTTATTAGCTTTATTTTGACTATTCACAAGTTAAATTATATCAAATGAACTGATTGGTTTTGAGAATAAATCCAGCGTTCCAGGTAGAAGGGCTTTGTTCAAAGGATTGTCTAACATTAATCATGTTAATAGTAAGCAAATTTCGAATGAAATTCTGTGATCCATTACAAGACAGTTCATAGCATTTTGTCAAACACAATCGCATGTTGTTCTTAAATCTCAACTACTAAAGGAGAGAATATTGTTTTCTTATTCCCACAAGTAACTCTATTATACAAGACTAATATGCATATTTACCTATGATTAATTAATTGTTGGCTGTTCAGGATAGGTTAAAGCTTGCTGTTTTTAATTAGATAGAAAAATAATTAAAGATAGGGGGAAAAATCATTAAAAAAATGTTTAAAAGAGAATGTTCCTACGAGCCGGGATCTAATCCTATCTTCATAATTTCACTCATTTTTCTCCCCATCTTACTTTCACCTTTCAATTAAACATTAAACGATTAAGATTTAATATTTTATAAAGTTACATTACAGCATTACGCAAAAATAAAATGAATAAATAATCTATTAAAATTTGATCAGTTCCTCACATCTTCAGATTACTTAAAAATAAAATAATAATAAGTTTTATAAAATACCGAATCTCAACTATTGGTTTTTCAATATAAAGGTGGAGATAAGATGAGGACATGAAAACGAGAAAAATGACGAGGAGAGGATCATATTCGAATGAATTATTGATAAATACTTTAAAAATGAGTTATTGATGATAGATTTCCTCAAACTTGCACAAAAAAGGGGAAAAAACCAGAGGGGGTGAAATTGAAAATTTTGAAAAGGAATTTTCAATCTGAAACACGGCTTGATTATTATTATTTTTTTTTTGGCATAAATTCCCCAACAATATAGAGGTTGAATTGGGAGATTAAATCATCCCACAAAAGAAAAAATCTAGATATTTTAGATTAATTATACAAAAAAATGATGAAATTGATATATATGTTAGTCATCGAATTCAAATTGGATGATTTAAATGAAAAAAAATTATCAAAATTATATATAATAAAAAAGTATCTAATAAGGTAAAATGAAAGTTTTATTGTACTGATATAAGATCAATAATGCCATATGGTGGTGAATGTTGAGTTTTAAAAGGACAAGATATGCATAAAGGAGGGGTAGACAGATTAAGATGCTGAACATACATACGAAAGAGTTGGAGAAGCATATAAAATCGTTTGAGGGAATTTAAACACATTTACATTTAAAGAAGACCATTGGATGCGTCAATGATGTTAATCAAGCAGTATGAAATCTTTTGAAAAAAGATAGAAGAAAGCCAAAGAAAATACTCAATAAAATTCATTCCATAATAAATACTCAATAAAATTACTAAGCGAGAGATGTTGCGGTTAACAATTTTTGTTCAAAGATTTAGTCATTAATAAAACATAACTGCATCATACCATTCTTATAGTCAATAGTTTTTGTTTACAAAATTGTCTACCTCTGATACTTAATGTAATAGCTTGTTTAACTTTTATTTTAGTTCTAAATATAAGATCTTAATATATTTTATCTTTCATTTTTGTCTATTTTTTTCAAGATAGTCCTTGTAATAATACTAATTCTAGCCAATACACTTGATTAGTAAGGATATTTTAGAAAAGATGATATCTATTTAAATTAATCTATTCAAATTAGTTAACTAACGTTTATATCAAGGAGGAGAGACAGTATTTTATCTTCATTTCACATAATTCTATGTGTAAGACACGGCCTTTGCTTGGGACAAGCTACCGAATTGTGTCTTGTTGATTCTTGAGAGTTTGGGTTGTTTGTAATCCGCTGTCCACAAGCTCTCAAGGGCTCCGAAATTTTTTTTTAATGACCAGTCTTATTTATAAGATCTAGTTGATTAATTTTAAAAAATTAAAAAAATTAGTTAAGTTCGTTATATATAGTAAATAAATATTATCTTTCCTAAAATAGTCTCATTAATCATGTGTTTTTGAGTTAGCCATAATAACTTCTGAACATATATAACTATTATAGAGATTACTTAAAGACAAAATAGATAAATATTGAAAATAAATTAAATTGAGATATTATATTTATAACCAAATTAAATATCAAACAAATTCTTATATTAAGAGTCAGAAGTAATATCTTTTAAAATTTGACGTTATAATAAATAGATAAATTCATTTGACATGAATTTTTTTTAAATAGATTCGTGGATTCTGCGTACATTAATTTTCAATGATTAATAAATCAGTCATTCATTGATAATCGATTAGTTTACAGTTAATACTTAATAAGGAGATAAATAGAACGGCTCCCATCACAAACATCAAACAAAGTTTGCTAAGATACGCCATAAATTACTTGTTCGCAGAGGCTTCCAAAATTATAAAGAATTCGTAGAAATATTGTCCTTCAATTTTAAGATTTTGATTATGCATTATGTTATAATTTATAAATTGTTCACACATTGCACATAAAATCGATCCCAAAACAAAAATTAGTAAATAAAATGCTTCGGCAAATTTTGGCACACGAAAAAATATTTTTTTAAGAAAAACTGAAATTGCCTTGCAACGTAAGTACGCAACACATCCATAAAGCAATACATTCTTCCATTTCTTTTTCAGAAAATACTTTTCCGCCTACCAAGCATCTTACTACTTTCTATACATCATATTGATTATGCATTAAACATTATCATAACTTCTTATTTACTGCTGCTAATAATAATAATAATAATAATAATGTGGGCATCAATAATAATAATAATAATAATAATAATTAATTATTATTATTATTATTATTATTATTATTATTATTACTACTACTACTACTAGCAGCAGCACATGTGGGCATCAACCGTGCAAGAATAAATGGATAATAATGAGATACAAACGGCACAACCATTACATTCTTTAACATCACAATCAAATTTAAATAGTTTAAGCAAAGTTATCAAGCTAGTGACTTTAAAGTAGCCTGTCAAGAAGAAAAATTCATGACAGACACAAGAGTTCTTCATTTTTAATAAATAATTATTAAAAATATATAATACCATCATAAGATGATCTTATAGTAAGAAAGAATGAGCAAATAAAAAGTAAAATGGAAAACAAGAAATTAATCATGGACCTCTATGATTACCGTGATATGATCAAAATAAAGTTTACGTTTTTGCTTGACACAGGATCAACAGAATTTGAATCAAGCTATTCACACCCAGGCTACGCTTTGCCCAATCAACAGCCCACTTTTCATATATACACAATCAAATTAAGAAAACTTCATTAATATACACTATCAAACAAAATAACATCAAACAATGACCAACATTTTTCCTAAAACAAATATCACCAGCACTAAACTTCCCTAAAAAGAATTGATCTTGTATAACTAGAGAATCACCAAGCCTACAATAAATAATTGGGCGGTTCCCGTCTCACCCTCCCCCTCGATTCCCATATATTTGCCTTTGTTCTGACCTCAAGCACTCACATAGATGTCCAAATCTTTCCTCATCATCTGTGCGCCCTAAATTTCCCCAATTCTGGTATAGTGGGGGTAACATGAGAACTATGCTGTAAATCTTCTACGTTCACGCCTGATACTCGAAACCCTTAGTACAAGGAATACATTTCTTGATATTTTCATGTAACGCCAATGAAGAAACCCTATACGGTGGTTTCTTGTCCCATGACAAGATTCCCAGATGCCTCCGAGATAGAGATGCTGATTCTACAAGCTGACTGTACAAAGAAGGTGGAGTTTCATATTTACCTCAAGCCTGTACAAAGTTCAATTATTTTTGGCACGGAATTCGAGCTTGAATATGTTGAGGTTCTGGGTGAATTTGTCCCTGTTTTTCGAATCTAGACTTTGATTAACATCTGTCATAAGTTTATCAAAACATAGTGAGAGCCGCTGACGCTGATCCATTGGCTGCATAAAAGGAACGAGCCTGAGTCACGCAACGTGGACATAATGGCAAAACATGGCACCCACCGCTTTGCATCACCCCGATGCACACACTTAGAAAGCACAGCTTATTTCCAGACCCATAATTAGACTTGTAAGACAATGTTTTGGTTTTTTTCTTTTTTTTTTTTTGGGGGGGGGGGGGGTTGTGCATTGAACTATGTTAGGCTTACATCAGGAACTTATTGCGAACAGACTTGTCCCGTTCAAATCTTTTTTTATTGCCATGGCTCAAACCCTATTTGATATACATGTGCAAATATACATCTGTTAAGAGACCAATTGTCATTTCTTCACCACTAAGATCCCTGATATTTTTATCACTGATATGAAATTCTGATTGAAAAAACATGCACTATGAAATTAAATTTAAAAAAAAATCAGGCATAAAATTTTCTCAATTTAACCATTTCATAACATATCACTACGCTTGGTGCTTTAAATATGTTCAGTGAGCAGAGAAATTTGGGGGAGAAACAAAATACCTGTGACGCCAAGATCTGAGTTTTTAAATCTGAAAATATCTGTTAAGGGGGGGGGGAGAGAGGGAAAAAAAAACCTTTAGTTCCCTGTAACCAACAAGAAACAGAAAATTCACAAGAGCAAATAATTAGCCAAAAAAAAAAAAAAAGCAGTGTTTTAAAGTCAGGACTAGGACTGGATAACTGATGGTTTGATCCCCTCAACTAACCATTATCACTACTTGCGATTTGATAGAAACCAACGTAGAACAGTAGGAAAAATGATGTTGAAACTGACATTGATTCTACAAGATATTTCCCCCTCAAGAACAGATCTTGAAGGAAAATTACAGAATATAACTCACACGAAGCTCACACAAAAGACATAAGAGGAACAAGCACACTGAAACTGAAATGAAAAATGATGAAGAAAGATTAATCTTCCTCCACCCCCAACTGGCATTCTAGAGGCCAGAGCTCTCATCCAGGATGCCCCATTGATTAAAAATGAAGTCAAAAGCAACCAACACAGTCCCCAAAATGCTTTCAAACCAAAAGACAGGTCTAAATCACCCTAGAGCACTCTAACTCTCGGCTTCTTTCTTCAAATTGGTGGGAGTCTTAAAGTCAACTCTCTGACCACGATAAAGCATCTAACATTTTGCTTGCATTTTCCTATTTTTCCTCTTATAAGTCTGACCAGTAAAAGCAACTCTATCACTACTTATAGAAATTGAAACAATGGTAACAAAAGTATATTAGCATAATGCTCTCAAAGATAATTTGAGACCACCATCATAGTAGTTGATTAGGTTTCTTTTTTTATTTAAAAAAAAAGAAGCAGAATACATAAAGCAAAGCATGCCTCGTGCAAATCCATCTTTAACTTTCATGTAAACTTAATGCTTATTCTCCCAAATTTATTTAGCCATTGCAATAGCAGAAGGCAAGGAACCATTCAGTAAAGCAACCCAAACCATTGCAAGGTATGATATTTGAGACTCACGCACGAATAGGATTTTGATGCAGATCTTACGGAAGACCGACCATGGGTCTTACAACCTCATGGATTACCTCTTGGGTGTTGTTCTCCAAAAGGTCCCCATAATGTATATGAAGTTTTTTCAATCATGTAAGAATAAGAAAACATTTCAAGAGAAGAAAAGTTTTACCCTAACTTCAAAGATAAAATTAATTTCTTAACCCTATGAAGCCTATAGTTTCCTTATGCAAGTGAGGTCCAATTTCTGCCCAGGCCCATACAAGAAATGATTAAATTAATACAAGTAACCAATATTTGAGGAAATATTGTTCCCATATACTAATATTAATTATTTGCCATTCATTGTGTGAAACCTAATTATGAATTTATGACTTTTGTGAACAAGAGGGGCATCCCAGTTGTACTATCAGCTCCAGAGTGAATTTAGTTGTTTTCATTATGCTTTGGGAGGATTACTTGTCATCATTGATGTATTATTCTTCTTGTCCGCTAAATTTATTTTGTTTTCTAAAAACAAAAATAAATTATCAGATATGTAAACTGAAAAGGTAGGTAAGAATATTCGTCATTGCTTTATATTCTGAACCATATACAAAATACCAATAAGCATGGAAAGATTATGAGTTTTCAATAGTTACTTACCTGCTCACTAATGACAATTAAGCTCAACATCGGCCTGCTCAGACTCCACTGGTTGCCACAATCTTCAAATAATATTATCTCAAAGAGATCCTTCAGAATCTTTAGCATATAAAAGAAATACTCAATTAGACAACGGAAACGTGGCTTTCCAGTCCTCTCAAAATAGTAAAAGAACAAAACAGAAATCAGACTCTTTCAGGCTGTTCCAAAAGAGTGTGATACTTTTTTATTGCATGATTTTACGTTTTGCCATGGATTACACCCCACTGCAGTACTTTTGTAATTAAGTTATACAAGTATTAGCTTAGACAGTTGTTCCAAATTTTGAGATCTTAGAGTAAAACGACTGTCCTAACTGGCTGATAGGCGAGGTGGTAAATGTAAAATAAAATACAACATACTTCTGTAAACAAATTGGGGCACTCTGCAACGTGACGAGCAAGATTGACAGCTCCTGGTAGATTCGGGGCCTCTCCCATAGTGATATTGTTGAAGTAGAAAGCAGCCAAATTATCAACAGCCGATGCACACTGTGGTCCATAATTCAAAGAGTTAGATAAAGGCAGTCACAGTAAATGAAAAACTTGATATAAACAGCATCTTAATTCCACAAAATGTTACAAAAGAAGCTCAAAAGATTATGTTTATACTGATCTATTCTGAAACAGGAAGATGCAAACTGAATAAGAAAAATGGCCTTTGCCATAACCTGTGATGAGATGCCCGTATCCAAGCCTTTAAGACCAGATTCAAGGGATTTAACTATATGAAGGAAGGTGCTAGTGTCTAGGTTCAATATGAAGGAAATATGGCTGCTGAACAAGACCTCCAAGAATGCAAAGTAAGCCCTTGTTAGCTGCAAAACAAAAGAAACAAAATGACAAAATGTGAAAAGTCAGCACAAAAAAGATTTACCATATAATTTAGAAAGACCTTGTTCCCTATATAAAGTTAAACTCGTACACTTATTTTTCATTGTGCCACATTACAGACTATTTATGAAGCATGATGCTCATAAAAATTTGCCTTGATGCACGGTAAATTATACTTATCAACAAAAGTAAACAACAAAGCTTGAAATAAACAGAAGAATTTGAAAATTTGTGCTTCACTTGGATATAAAAGCAATTATATGCATTCATAGTGAAATTAGAGTACAATAATCAGATCAAATCAATAATAAGCTTTAGGTACTTAGTGGGGAAGACGTGGGCAATTAGCCTCATATAACAATAAGTTTGCCATAGAATAAATAATATATACAAAAACCCACGTCTTGACTTAATTGGAAACAAGCACCTTAAGCATATAAGTTTTTTTCCTCGGATTAAATCAACAATATAATTTGAAGCACAGTTAAAGTAGCATTCAATTATAACAACAATGTCAGGAAAGAAATATTTTATACATACCTTACGATAAGCTAAAATATCAGACAAGGATATTGACAGGGTCATCCTTAGAGCAGCATCAAGTGCATCAGAAAGAGCTCTATCACCATATAATTCAAACACACCAAAATTGACATAGTTTCCCGAAAGTGCTGTTATTTGAGGGCAAAATACTAAGATCAGTAATCTCACAAACAAATTTTATTCTTACATGTCAATTAATAAAATGATAATCAGATGACCTACAAATCACCCCGACATTGACAAAGACCATTTCATCCAATAATATCATCTCTTTATTGATCGGGAAATGTCCCGGTATTGTTTTTATTAATGTCTTCAACATGGGGTTAGATAAAGTACGGCCATGTCGTACACAAAGGCTTCTCTGGCCATTTGACTAGACCAAGGCACGTGATGAGTGCCCCTCTTGTTCTCAGTAGGTTGTATCTTTTTCTATGGCTTTAGTCTCGTATTTTATTGGATAGAAAGATTAGGAAGTTTGAATTTTTCACTCATTTTTGCTGGGATAAGTATATCATATGGATCCTTTGTTTTCTTTTTCCAATGAACTTAAATGAACTGGACTGCACGTTGTTTTGGTTTTTCACATGCTATTAGAACATACTTAATACGTGAGCTCACATATCAAGAGGAGTCTTTTACTTAAGGAGTGTTGTAGTGTTGTTTTGCTATTATTATTATTATTACAATACATTAGGAAATCCACATTGACAGGCTTCTGCGCAAAATGGGTGGTAAACCAACCTCAAAACCAACGTAACACATGCAAGTTTATTACTAGTGCATGAATTTCTTCAAGCTATTGGTCTCTGTTATAGGTATGGACTTTCAGGTCACACTTCTCTTCCATTAGTGCTAGTGAGATAAGTACTTCTAGTGCAAACCAGGCAAGCAACAGAAGATACAAGCAAACTAACCAAAACTATGTCGGACATTAAGGGTGATATGTTCGGGAGTTCAGAAATGGAAAGACCATTGACGGAGTGGGGTAGAGTGGGATGAGGTGGAACGGAATGGAACATTCCCATGTTCCAGAGTTTTATTGAGAGAAGGAATGGTTTTATTTAATATTTGTTTAAAAATTATTATAAAATTAATGGAAATGAATTGGTAAAGATTATGTTTATCCCATTTTAGAGTCGGAGGAAGTGGAAGAATTTTTTTTGGTGGGGGGTTAAGAAGGATGAGGGATAATTTTGTTAAGTTATTTAATATAAGAGCTAAATAAGTAATTGCCCATATTAAAGAAATTAGTTAAGTTATTTATAACAAATATGTCCTAATTTCTCCAAACTACCCACTTTACTTATATGCATTGGAATTACCCTTTAATTGAGAGGCATCTTAATATGAGCAATCAATAGGAATACTCTGGGTAAAAAATTATAAACTTGGGAGACAAAAATGAATTGAGATATTATATTTAGAATCAAAGCAAACCTTTTGTCTAGCTCCTATATTTAGGACTAGAGGTGATAGCATTTATTTCAAACCATTTCATCTTTGACATTACAATTTGAGGGATGTGGAAAAAGTGGATTAAGAAGTGCAAGGGATGGCCTCCCAAACCACTCCACTCCCTTTTAAAATTATTCTCCCAAACAATGGTATGAAGCTTCTAGCCATCCCACTCCATTCCATCACATTCAAGAAAAAAACTCCCAGACACTACCTAAAGCACATCATCGCAATATCAGAACAAGACAGGCTCAATTTTTACCTCTTGACAAAATTGTTAGGCATATCCATATTCCTTTGAACTTATAGATATATATATCAGCAGCATTTGGCAAAGACAGTACTCTTGAACCATAAGCAACGATCAGTTTGCTGACTTCCCGGAACAAAAGTATGCCATTAGGAGAAGAAGAGTCAAATGTCAAACGCTGAGCTTTATTCAAGACAAACTCTGCTACAAACTTCAACAGAGGAGTAGTAACCTGCATAATATGTACAGAAACAACAGAAGAGGATGAAGAAATGTTGGCCAGATTCATGCAGCAACAACAGAAGAGGAGCCAGAGAACTAGGAGAAAAGCAGGAAAAAAGGGAAAGAAAAAAAACAATAAAAGAAGAGGAGCCAAAGAACTAAGAGAAAAGCAGGGGGAAAAAAAGCAAAGGAAAAAAAAAAAAAACATCCTCGAAATCTGCCTGCTTTTATCTCCATATCTTCCTCTCTCATCCATTATTTTAATCCCATTTCCCTAACAAAATACCAGTAGAACCACCCTTAAAAAGATTCAACTTGTTCCTGCTTCTCAAATTCCCTCAACAGCCCCATATTTCTGTCTTGCACAGATGTATTATTTTCAGGGACCACCAGAATTTTACTTGACTTGTCATATACAATTTAAAGCCAGTATAATTTAAGTCACCAAACAACAGTGCTGTCTGCAAAGAGTAAGTTATGAGATTACTTATAGTGATATGTACCAAGTCATGAAAGGCAGCATCTGCAGAGTATGGGCATAGGATATAGAAGAAATCAGGATAATGAATTTTTGCAATTACAAGTGATAGAGAATTACTTCAAAATTAACCGTCTGAACATGGTGGATGGTATCAAAAAGTGTCTACAAGTTCTATTACCTCTGGAGTATCTGCCCAATGTGAGATGCCTTGTATAAGTAGTGGCATGTGTGCAGGATACAACCAATCAAATAGAAGGCCATAGGTTCGCCGGCTGGGGCAAGCAAAACAGATATGAAAGGCCATAGTATATACAGCTATGTTGCTATCAGATGCCAGTAACGACCAAATACCAACCTATTTGTCGCCATTGCAATTCCTCGGAGGTCCCTCATTAACCCAATAAGTGCAAACTTTACGGCATCTGTTCGAAACAGTGATTCAGGTGTTGATTCCAGACTGAGAAATACCTGAATGCAAAATATTCATTTTTGTTGGTTAATCATTAAATTATAAGAAATATCAAGTCAAATACTCCAATTGAGTCACTTTTACAGTATTATATCTTGTTAGAAATATTAATAAACCATTTATGGTTAAATGTTTGAGCGCTGCCACCCTCAGTCTACTAATCACACTTGAAGACCACTGGAGATAGTTTTGGCCATTCAAGCGATGAAGATAGGAGTAGGCACACTAATTAGAGGAGACATCAATGTGTTCAAGGCTGAGATCTGGTTTTGAGGGACCTCAGCATTGAATCCAGAGAAACAGCAAATACAGTGTTCTCTGTCCTTCATATTATTCATTGAATCCTAGCAGAAATAAATAGGAAGAGAGAGCAGTGGGAATGAAATGAAATTCCCCATAAGGAGGACTATACAGACAAACAGACATGGTCAAACAAACTAATTCAAATATAAGCAGATAATACAAAATATAATAGAAAGATGAAATTCTAACAATAACCACATATAACGCAACTCACGAAAAAAGATATATCTTTAGTTTTTTCTAATGCAATTTATTCAAACAAGCATTAGTGCAATGCATTAAACTTAAAGTAACTTTTCTATAACAATTTTGAAAAAAGTTACCTGTTAAAGTACTAGATTTGTAAATAAACTATATGTATTAGGAGCAGTCACAAAAAATCAAGAATACAAAAAGACATCATCTTGCTTTTTTTCCCATTTTGAATAAAGAATAAATAATATACAAATGAAAACAACATAATACACATTGGATCCTGGCAAATATTAGCCTGGAGTTCTAATTGACCAGTGGCCATAGGGGGAAAAAGGTAGAAGGCAGTAAGCACTGGCAACAGGAATAAATAAGCAGCATAATAGAAGAAAGGACATGAATTTTGCAGGAATCATAATAATGATGCAGCTCAACACCCACAATTTGAAGGGAGGAAAAGCAGCATTTAGGTGCTGCGTCACATTAACTGTCTTGACATGTATAAAACCCACAATTAACTGGTTGGTAAATGACCCAACCCAACTGGCCCTTCAATAGTTGGGTTTAAGTAGGTCATATTAGAGTCAGGATGAAGTAATTAATTGGTTTAGGGTTGAGATTGCAATCCCTAATGTCCAGGTAGTTCACTTGTTGTTGCTCAATTCTTTCAGCATAAGCGAGAAGAGTACCTTCTGAAGTGGTTCCATCGAGGTCTTAAATTTCACAGGGCTATCTTCCATGAATATCAACCAGCCAATAATGTAATAGAAAGTTGTTCTGCTTCGAGCGCATCTGTTTGCTTCTAGAAATGGAAAGTGCTCCCTCTGAAATAAGATTTCAGGCATGAAGCATCAGATCAAGATGCAGAGCAATCAATATCATAATTGAACATGAATGCTAATCTTAGACAATCAATCTCATTAGCTGAATAAGTAATCAAAGGCAGCCAATGAGCAGCTGGTGTTTAATGTCATTTCTCGGTTTCCTGGCTCAGAATCTGGTGATTTATGAGGTTGATGTGAATGTGCACGTGTTATTTGTCAGCTATAGGTTTTGCAACACTTAAGAATCCAATAGGATATGAAGGGCAATTATAGAATGAGAGATACTACCGTATGATTGGCGACAATAAATTTCACAGTATCCAACTTCAGAAGCAGCTTTCCGGTCATATAGCTGCCAGTGGGAAGTGAGAGAACAGAAAGAGGAACATGCAAAGTAGTCAGTAACGCTGGGTGGTTTATCTTCAGCAAGAAACCAAAATAGCGTAAACACTAGATCCAAGTAATACTAACCCAGATGCAAGCTCCAAAAACAAACTCAAGGTGTGATCAATGACCTCTTCGCACTGCAATTAACACAATTAAGAAAATAGTATACCAAAACAGGAGATAAGTCAGAAAAGATAAGGATAAAATGGTACAATAGTTGTATGCTCACCTCGGTGTAGGACTTGAGATTAGTCATAATTTTGCCGACAATCACGTTCAGAATTAGTAGATGATCATGCAATCCAAGAAGCTCAGATAACCGGGCATATAACTGCTGCAGCACAAAAAACAAAAACAATGAAGAGCAAAATTTAGATGTTTTACTTTTGTTGATTGCAAAATTAAGCACCTATAAAAATCTGTTTCCAGCTTCTTCTGGAAGGTGAAATCATAAACTTTTCTGGATATAGCTTTTATCATATCAGAACTACTTTTTGTGCAGGAAAATCTATCCAAACAGCCACATAATTACCTTAGAAGAATGCATGGCCTGATCACCCACACAAGACTTTCGGAAATTTTGAAAGAAAGTAAGAATTGCTCTATCAAGTCTTTGTTTGCTTATTTCACCATATCTCTGTCCAAAACCAATGATATCACAGATAAAAAGATATTCTATGCAATATGGATATAAATACATCATAAGCAAGACAATAGAGGCAAGAGAAAGAAATGATAGGGTATCCAACACACAAAATTTGAGGACTACTCTTAGTATATTTAGAAGGAAAAAAAAAGCATTGACTTCATAATGAAGCCATAAGCGCACAAGCCACTGAACTGAAATATTGTGAAAGAATGGGCATCGAGCTAAAACAAGGTCCAGCAGGCAGAAATCATGTCTACAAAGGAAATTATAGGAGCAAAACAAGAGACGGAGGTATCAGCTATCAGAAGAGCTTTGGAGGAAAATGGTTTGAGCAGCAATGAAGATGAGGGTATGAGATGACATGAATTTACATGTGCAAAGTTTCTAGCATCCTTGAATTGAGAGCTTCGATGTTCCCTTTCACTATCCTTTGCAACCAGGTTTTGTTTTTTTGATGCATTTGCAATCGGTCTTCGTAGATCTAATGTTTTGAGAGCTTGGATGTTCCCCTTCATTATACTTCATATTTTGGGTGATAGCTTCTAGTTATGAAGCAGCAGCAGCAGCAGCAACCCTTATCCCACTAGGTGGATTCCCAAGTTTCTAGTTATGAAACATGTTCCCTAATAACTTCACATCCAAGCCCCTTTCTGGGAGTGAGAAACTCAGGATGTTTAATATTGAATCTTTTGAAGGAGGATCCATATGAATGAGCATGCTGATCATAATTATAGGAGCCTTGTCTCCAGTGGAGTAATTGCTGAATATTTTCAGTAACAGAATTGTTTCTAATACTCTTCAACATTGTTTTGGATATTCTAACTAAACCTGTTCAAGAAAGAATCCCTAAGTCCATGCTCTTCGCGGATGATATAGTTCTTATGGCGGAATCAAAAGAAGAGATTAACACTAGTTTGGAGTTATGGAGAAGGACTTTGGAGTCGAAAGGTTTCCGTTTGAGCAGGAACAAAACAGAATATATGAATTGTGATTTTGGAGGGAGGCAAGGTAATAGGGATTTGGAGGTGAGGATGGGAGAGCAAATTATTCTTCAAATATCAAAGTTTAAATACCTAGGATCCATTATACAGGAGGATGGGGAAATTGATGGAGACATTTCTCATAGAATACAAGCTGGCTGGTTAAAGTGGAGGAAAGCTACCGGAGTTATTTGCGATAAGAAGGTACCTGAGAAACTTAAAGGAAAATTTTATCGGACTGCTATAAGACCAGCTATGATGTATGGTAGTGAATGTTGGGCAATAAAGGGAAAACAAGAGCACAAAGTCGGAGTAGCAGAAATGAGGATGTTGAGATGGATGTGTGGTCATACAAGAAAAGATAGGATTCGAAATGAAAAGATCAGGACAAGAGTCGGTGTGGCACCTATCCAAGAGAAAATGGTTGAAAATCGCTTAAGATGGTTTGGACATGTGCAGAGAAGGCCTTTGGAGGCCCCGGTGAGGAGGGTGGATCAAACAAGATGGAGTCCCATAAAAAGAGGCAGGGGAAGACCGAGAAGAACGCTGAATGAGGTCATTGAACGAGACCTCCTAATCAACAACATATCTAAGGATTGGGTTGTTGACAGAGCATGATGGCGTCGTGTGATTCATGTAGCCGACCCCACCTAGTGGGATAAGGCTTGTTGTTTGTTTGTTACTCTTCTCATTCTACCAAGGCTCTTGCATCATGGGGATTTAAGCACAATTCTACAACTAGCACTAGCTAATTCCTTCAAAGATGACCTAACATACTCATTATTAGACTCCATGCAATCTTGAACTTGGCCCCAGGCATAATCAAGTTATGATGACCTACTCCAAATAGCATGCAAGGTGCGGAGGCCTTGTTAATTGACATGCCTTAGAAATGGCTAGAACTAACTCCAATAAGCCATGGCAACTAGATTGAGGGAACTCAATAGAGACTTGGTGACATAGGGTACTTAGTCCCCCTTTAAATATTATGGAATGCTCGATGGGATATTTGAGTAGGTTGGTTCTCCTAATCCAACAGCTAGCTTTTGGTTAGGGCTCCCTATTCCACTTAGGTACCCATCAAAACTTCAAGCACAACACCAGTAGAACATTGGACATTTGGCACCCTTTGATTACCATACTAGGGCAACTATAATAGCTATTTTCTTCATGAGACTTTCTCAATATGAATTTCCACTAATTCAGTGGATCTAATTTCCGTGGTCCGTATTACAAGTGCAAGCAATTCTTTGATGTAGATGACTACTATGCGTATCTTGTAAGAAAAAAAATGTCTTGTATCCCAAAAAAAAAAGGTATGGCAATAAGGAGTGATGCACGAGCTGAACAAAGGACTCTAGCTCAAGGTTTCTGTGAAGGTTTGTGGTTGAAAAGAAATAAAAAAATGATCTTGATCAACCGTTGGAAGCTGCTATTCACATGTCAACGATTAGCATTGCAAGAAACCCATTCAACACCGTCAAACTAAGTAAGCTGAAACACACTAATATTTCATCAACGGAGAAGTGGGTTTGGAGCTCGCGTATACTTCTATTAAGATTTAAGGGATTTCAAGTTAAGTTGAGGATTATTGATATCTATGTCCCAATTTAAATGGGAGTATTGGTTATTATGATTATCAAATCACGTATATTGAATTATTTTGTTTTCATTGTTATAAATCATTGCTTTCATTCTTTGTTGTTTCTCCACCACCTTTGTCGAAGGGTGTGCCCAGATATGAGATCCTCTAAACTTAGGCTCACAAGTGCTATCTAATTTTATTTAAATTATAGAAAAAAAATTAGAAACATGATAACAACCAGATTTGAAATGAAAATGAAAAAGTGTTTACCAGTACAGATTAAAATATCCAGTATTAAATTCCTGAAAAGTAATCCATAACTTGTTCAAGCACTAACTCATACCTGACTATGGATTCCACTGTCAGTTACATTTATCAACTGTAAAACTCGAGCTGAAATTTCTGCATCGAGCACTTCTTGAGATTCCACACTGAATATAAAAATAGCATAAAAATAAAGATCACATGCATAAAATTTTTGGCAGAACTTCTTATTAAAAGTCAAAAAGTGAAAATCATTTTACCTACAACCTGTACATTGCTTTATTTTCAGAATTGCAGCAATGATATGAACAATCCAGGCCAGTTTGTCTTCAATCACACACAGATCACTGTTATCACTAACTTGTAGTCTTGCTCTTTCCTGTTCCAGTAAATGAAAACACCAATCACTAACTCATTTCACCCAAGAGAAAGTACAAAAAATAGAGGTGACATCACTGAGCAGGAGTTACACCGTGTATATTTGCAGGACTGGCTCCATTATGCTTATTATATATAAACTACTGCTTTCATACTGCATAAAGAATACAAAGATGTCAAATTAACAACAGGCTTCAGCAGAAGAAGCAAAAGGTAGCAAAAGAAAAGGCTATCTATATTGAATATATTTTTTAAGGAATGCAAAATACATTGGGGAAAAAAAACAGTTCAAAAGGGGAGCAATAGTACAGAGAACACCATCAATTAGTAGAAAAGAAAACTGCAAGTCTTCGGCGTCCAATATACAACAGAGCAGTCCAATCATGTCCAAGGGAAAACCAATGTTCACTTAAGATTCCTAACATTTAGTACATGGACAACCAGAAACTTAGAGAGAGACTGGATGCTTCTAAATTTTCAATACACCAAAGAAAATTAGAAATGTTAGGAGAAAGAGTTGGCTTCTCCACAGCTAATCATGTCACTAGGATTAATCCTCCAGTGTCAAAGTCCTGAAAACAACTTGACCATAAATGAGCTCTAAAATTTCAAAGTGGGTTTGCAAAAATTTTCCTTCTTTTTCATTAAAGATTATGTTATAAGAGATAGTACTATTTATCCAAGGATAGGATATCCTAAAATAAAAATGACAAGAAAATCAGCATATTTATATATAGTGCTTTCTATTTATGTGTGGAATCAGCATATTTAGTTCAGAATTTTCCAACTAATTTCTCCATTCTCCCTTAGCAAGTTACTTCTGAAATATTCCTTTGGAAGTGTTAGGCCAGCTCAATGACACTTCCATCCTGCATTCACAGCAACCCCGTTTATTACAGCAATCCCTGCTCAGACATGTAAGCGTGGTGCAGGCAGAAAGTGCTGGGAAACAATATTCAACAAGCCTAGGTCAAGCTAGCGTGCTTAATTTGACCCAGCAGGGTGAACCCACCTAGTTTCCTTTCTTTCTTTCTTTCTTTCTTTTTTTTTGGGGGGGGGGGGGGGTTGTTAGCATGTGCCTTGGTTTGTAATCTTCCAGGATCATGAATAACACTGCATTTGTGCCAATTACTCCTCCTTTCAGGGCAATATGAGAAAAGGGATGTAAAGAAAAACATCAAACTAGCCCAAAACCTTAGTGACACTACAAACTTCCAGTGTTCCCACCCTAATCTGTTCCATCCTTCAACTTCATTTGGTGAATGCTAGTGGTGATCTATAATAGCACCAAAGGTAATGAAGAAGGAGAGATATTTGGGCAAGAAAGTGGGGACTTCTAAAGTTAACAGGAAATGGAGTTTGACCATCTGTTTTTTGTTCACTACTTCCATCTCTTCAAACCTTGATTGCAATTCTTCTTGCTATCGCTGCACAGTGTCATTTCTATCATCACAATTAGGGTTTTATTTGTACATGGTAGAAATCTAACACACACTAATATTCAAATTAGTTGCTATCACACATGTACCTAATAAAGGAGGCCTATATAACAATCAACTTTATAGATACTTAGCTAGGAACTAACCCTAACTAATTCCTAACAACTTCAACTAATTACGAATCCCATGCAACAATACTTCATCCCATAATGTGAAAATACCCCCTAACTTTATAGATACTTAGCTAACTACTAATCCAACTTCATCTAATTACAGATCCCATGTAACGATACTTTCTCCTAAAATGATCCTCATCCTCAATGGTCAACACAAACTGAGAAGGGAAAAAGTTGATGCACTTTTTAACAGATGACACTTCTCTTCAATGCCTAAAAGAAATTTCTTAACTCTAAATTCTAGGCTCAGCTGCCCATACAATAGTGGCCATTTGGATTGAGCGTTCATATGATCCTAATGTAGCAAATTTACTAGGTCATTTGAGCATTCATGTTTGTATACCTGCCAAAACCATGGAGGCCCTCTTCAGGTTGGACCAAGCTCATATATAGATGCTTGTACAGCAGCCAAAAGAATATGATCCTCTTAACATTGAGCGAAGCCAAAACCAATGCCAGCATAGGCTTACAACAACAATATTTCAGCTTAGGTATTGGCGATTTCATCATGAGAAATTAAGACTAACGTGAAGTTGAGTAATTTGACAACATCGAAGAAGCAGCAGAAAAGGCAATGTGAAGACATATTTGAGGGTTTGCTGATGACGCTTTTAATTTCTCTAAAGATTTGGTTTCACGCATCAAAAGTGGTGATTATGCTCTACCAATAGTCACTAGACTTTCAATGACAAAGGATTGTTCTGTACGCTTACTCTGGGGCTCAGCAGCTCCAGGTAAACATGCAGAGGAACTAGAAGGCCCTATAACATTAAAGCCCAAGTTGTGTTTTCTTTTTGCTGCCTTGATTAAGGACAATATCTTATTCTCCACATTTGCAATCATCATTCCTCTTCCTAAAACTTCTCCAAACAAATAGATGCTAACAATCCTATGAATCCGTATGATACCTGAAATCTGCAAAGTTGAGGGAAGCAATCCAACTGATCCTGAAGAAGTTCAGCATTGTCCAAGGGGTTCTCAGAAAGATCATCAGGTACTCCATCCTGACAGATTCAGATAGAAGGAACTAAATTTCTGGAACAATATGGCTCATTGATCAAACATAAAGTAGATATTAACAAGTAAAGCAAGTACAAAAAATTGTAAATACCTGCACTGAGTTAAATCTTGATGTGATGAAACTTTCAGTAATCCTAGGAACAAATTCATCCAGCAAGCTTGGTGCATCACCTTTCAAATATGGAACAGACGACACCAATCTCGACCACAGTCCTAACAGGTAGTATACACTATTGCTGGCCCACTGGTAATAAGTCCAACTTGATCAAATTTCACATTCTAGTTTCTTGATAAAAAAAATACGGCTGAAATAAATCAGTCCATATTTTACTAATGCATGAAGGTATAAATAAAATCATTACAGTTGTCTCCAGCGCTAAAGGATTTGACTTGGAATCCCAACTACAGTCAAATGTGCCCCCAACAAAAAGTTTGACGTATGTTTCAATTCATAATTCTCAAAAGAAGAAATCACATGTTTTGATGGTAAAGGCAAACGTCACATTGTGGCAAAGACAACTGGTTCGGAAGCTTGTAATATCACAACACATTAACCATTCTCTTGAACATGCTTAAACTTGATGTAAACCAACTCACCTGCCACGATTGCAAAGATTTGAGAGTAAACTCTGCAACCATTCGTATCCAATCACTATAGCCTTCAACATTAACAAGCTCTGAAAGCTGCAGCATTATGTCACAATAGTTAACAAAAAAAGACAGACAAATCAGGACAACCCACAAAATTTTATTAGTTTTGGCAGCTGGCATGGGATTTTGAAATTTATATATTTACTCGAGTTTATATCTCAGCATCTTTATGATAAAAAACAAAAACATATAGGAAAATCAAACCAACCATTACCAAGTAAATATTGGTAAAAAAAACAACAATACAGTTTCTTAAACGCATCACAAGGCTACCCAATCCTTTCACTGCGATAAATATTGGATAGAGAGAAAAAAAACCCTGAACATAGAACCACAATGGAGCAACAAACAAGACCTGTGTCACAGTAAACCACGCCCTGTAATACACGGGTATTCTGTTAAAAGCAAATACATCAAAGCACAGCAAACCCTTCACACCATTACAAGACTTTAGCATCCTAGACCACCAAGAATCATTTTGACCTCACTACAGGATTGGACTTGGAGCGTATATAGCTGCAAACGATACTCATTCTTTGCAAGGCAAGACAAAAACCATAGAATATAGTAATTTTACAAGTATTTTCTTAAAATATAGAAGACAACATTTTCATTACCTTGTGGATGAAAAAACTTTTTAAGTGCAAACCAACGAAGTAGTCATAGGCGAAAATAAGCATATAGTTCAAATGAGAACAAACCTCCTGATATACCAACTAGTATTTAAGTACCACAAGGTCACTACAAACCTACAATGGCAAAGCATACTCCCAATTCCATTTACTACCCCTACCCTCCATGCATAACCTAGACAAACAAGGGCTTGCACAATAACAACAGAGTTAAAGACTTGACAAAGTTTTTAGCCTCTCAAACCATTAAACAACAATGGGTCCTAAAAAATATGCATCACAGGCCTTACCATTTAAATATCTCATTACTACAATATCGCATTAATTTAACAGGAATATACAATTGTTCAGATCAAATTATGTCAATTCATATTTGACAGTAGTTTATGAGTAGGCACCACACAAGCATCTAAAGTTCCGGCTTGCCAAACTAATTTGAGACCTAAACCCCAGCCAATGAACCTCAAAGTCGTGATAATGTGCATTATGCCCTCATCTCTAGAAACAATCCAGTTAAGTCAAAAGAGAACTGCACCTGATAATTCACTCTGAACCGACCAAGAAGACGGCAAAACTCATGGTAATTGTAGTGGTCTGTGAGACCTGATCCACAACATAAAATTAAAATTCTAATGGAGTGGAAAACAAGGAGAAGCAAACAAAAAAATTATAAATAAATCAAGATTTAAAGTAATGCTAAAAATGAATGTACAGAACTAGCTTTCATAGACTCAACCAATTTCAGCAAAAGGAATTAAGTATATTTGCTATGTGTATTTACTTCCTTCATATCACAACTATGTTTTACATTCTTGCACCAGGAAGGCAACATTTTCTAAGCTTATGATTTACTTGAGCTTTCCACTTCGACTGCTATTAAAAAGAACCAAACCTACTCATAATATCCAGAAAAAATATCTGAGATTTAACTTATATGCCTCTTGACTAATGGTTGATGAGCAAAATGTCTAGCTCAGCTTCACCTATTACCAAAAATGAACCATAAAATTGATCATACATAACATGTGTACACAAACACGCACAAGGGAGATCAGAGCTGAACCATCGAAGGCAGATATAAATTTTCTTATAACAAGTTCATAGATAAGACACAAATGAACAAACTTTATCCTTCATTCTCGGTACAGGGAAAAGGCAGTTACAAATGCCACTCAGAATCAGTTGCATATATTCTTTTTACATGTATTAGAGTGAGAAATAATATATATAAGCTTTCCAGTTGAAGTCATTGAAAAACTGATCAAGAAGAGAAGTATCAAGCCAACAACACCTTGCCCTGTTTGAAGTATTACTTTGGTTCCTGTCATTAAATGCGCCAAAAACTGAGAACGAGCAGCATCATTGGTAAACAATGAACGTCTTACAGAAGCTAGTCGCACCAGGCACTCCAATGCCTGAAAAACAAAAACAAGTAAAATTAGGAACGGTGAAAAAGTAACAAAGCAATGAGCCACCACAAGAACTTCTAAATACTCAGGAAAACATTAACCCATAAAGAGTCAAAAAATCCTTTAATTTAAAGCAAAAAAGATTCAAGTGACAACATAATCCAGTCAAATAATGTGACATACAAGTGATGCAAAATAATAATCATTTTTCATGCTGATGTGCTGTTTTGATTTTTATTTTTGGCAGCCCATTTATTTTTACAGTGGCAGGCAGACAGTTCTGGACAAAATAGGTCTTTAGGCAGCCATTCAGAAACTTGAGCATGTCATCTGAATTTTGAGCAGCTCATTTTGATACAATCAAGAGGCTTTGGTAGGATTAAGATGGGTGAAGTCTCCTGGCATCTAACAGTAAATGCTGTCTACTGATGCATATGAAAGGAATGAAATGCTCAAATTTCTAACAACTAGAGACAAATATGAAGAAATAGAGTACTTGAAGATACTAACAAACCCATATGAAAAAGAAACTCCTAAGAACTGAATCACTTCAATTATTTGCACTCGACAATTAGAGAACTTCAATATAGGAAACTCAAAAATAATAAAAAGAACCACATTCACAGACCTCCTTTGAAAGAGGAGCCTTTGTAATGGCATAGTAATCAAAAAATATTTGCAGGGTTGAAGACTCCTCCAGAACAGGCTTCCAAGGAGAAGGAATCTGTAGGCAATCATATTATGAGATAAAACAACATTAACGGGGATCATGCACATCTCCAAAAGAGATAGGAATTTAGTATTAAAATATAAGAAAATACCTGAACCGTGCCGAACTCATCTGAACTTTCATCAACAGATGTCCCCACAAAATCAAACGATAAGCATTTCAAAGAAAGAGAAAGTGCCAACTCTTGCAACTGACTGACAACTGCCCTTCATAAAAAATCAACCCTCAAAATACAATAATCAAAAAGATATAAACAATAAGGAACAAAGTTTTACAATGAGTATACCATCATTCTTCAGTTGATGCAATGATGTTAAAGATATCTGAAATACTTGGAAGAGGCAATGATCCCTAAAGGAGCAAGCCACTCTTCGATGATGTGTTGCAGGGAAGCCAGCGTTAGCCTAAGGCAGAATTCCAGAAACATATTAAATACTTGTGCAGAATGCCATAACTAGGCATTAAATATCAAAACAAACTAAAACTAATAAAAGCAACACAGCTCATACTACAAGAAAATATTACAGACAAACACCAGTGTTTGTATGCTAACTCGTTGAAGTCAACTTTTATTAGGCGTAGCTTGATTCAATTCACAAAACTTCTGATGAAGTTTATAGCTGATTGCTTGTTTCACTTTTCTAATTCCTCAGAAATCTAAACTTCTAAATAAATATAGTACTTGTTAATGACAAAGACAAAAATACCTGTTTAATTAGATTTTATTTCATAAATCATAATTTTTCAGTGTAAGTTAGGAAATAAATAAAAAATACTAGGAAGTAGAACACTGGATTCCACTAAGTAAATTGCTCCCATAGTTGTGAGGTAAGTTGGGTCTCCAACTTTCGAAGAAGCTTGGTCTTTTAATAAACCAAATAAATGGAATTTATTCACTTCCAGGTATAACTTCATCCCCTTCCCCCAACCAAATGACCCTTTAATAGTTGATCATAAGTACTAACATGCATCTTTTGTTTTGGGGGAAAAAAGTCATTAAGGGAAAAGGTACAAGAACACACATACTCGCCAAAAGAATGCAGATAACGAAAACCAAACAAAAATATCGGCTAGAGAATGGGCACCAGTCTCTCTGCCAATAGCCTCCAAGAAAATTTCCTATGGATAGCATACAGAAAACTAATAATTTATTACTGGAAAACAGACTTACGATTAGTAGCCAAGCTAGAAATATCTCATGATTCCTTCGGTGGTGAACTGTATTTAATATTTATTTTACCGTGCCTCTCATCTTCTCTATTCTCTATAGTAGAAAGAAGATAGAAGATAAATACCAACTAATATCCTAATAGTCAAAGTCACACAATACCACAGCATAAACACGATAAATGACAGACCATATAGCAGAAAACATACAAAAAGCACACAAGCTGCAATAAACTCCAATTCCCACTGGTCATTGGGTCTCTTGCAGAAGCAATCAAATGTTGGCAAGCGTAGTTCTAAGGCTAAACACAGGGCCCCATCTCATGGAAAAGTTGTGGCTAAAACATCTTATAGAGGTTAGAATCCCAATGTAGCTGAGACATGGCTACCATCAATGAAGTGAAAAATGTAGATTATCATTACAGGACAAAGCATGCGGTACTAGATCATGACTTCAATAGAGAAAAACTTGATTCTAAATCATTATATACATCCCTACACAGCACCTTAATTTGGACTTCTTAAATGGGGAATCATGGAAGCTTTTCATTTGCTACAAAAGGAAGACTGATCTGTAATCCTTATGTCCTCACCGACTTGACACAACCACAAGATGTGGCTGGCAATTGATGAATGCTTTTCATTAAGCAAATTGTTAACTAGACATGGCTGGCAATTGATGAATGCTTTTCATTAAGAAGATTGTTAACTAGACAAGGGCTGTAGCTGAATTCTGGTGTTATGACACAATCTGGGTATGTTATATCAAAAACAGATAATATTGAAAGGAAAGAAATAAATAAATAAGAACACAATTAGTACTCTGGACGTTTTATATACATTGATATTTGCACAAAGATCACTCCCAATAATAAATGGTGCTACCCACTTTGAGCATCGAATGTATCTGAATATCACAAGATGAAATCATACCTGGTTCATCTCAGAGACAAGCTGGTTTAATATCTTCAAACCAATTGCATAATGACCAGGTGTTGCCTGTTAAAACAGAATATCTATAAAGAACACATCTCAGGAATTTTAAACTGCCCATTCGAATCATGGGCAAGTGAGAGTTCCAAGCAATCCTAGCCAGATTAAATCTCTTTAAGTGCTATCCACTCAAGCCAGATTAAATCTCTTTAAGTGCTATCCACTCAAAGGAACAAGCTTGTTTGAAGCATAGATGCACTTTTAGGGTTGGCCTGGTAAAAACTGGTAAGAACCAGCCAAGCCTCAACAACACTGCCGACTATTAGTCAGTTTCATAGTTAATATTGTCACCTTTCTATTTATTTTTCTGTTTATGAATAGTGTCGTTACTCTTTTATCATCTCTCAAGCAAAATTGTCAAAATTGTCAAGTTGTTCATGATTTGCAGTCCTTGGCTGCATTATTTGATTAAAATATGTTGATCCTCTTTCTTTCTGAGATTGAACTATATGCAAGTGTTACTAGATTAAAAATGCACTTTATCCTTGTTCAATGGAGAGAACCAGCTTGCACAGCACTCAGTTGTCCATAATGATTAATATTAGCCAGCTCCTTCTTGACAAATGGATAGAACATTCACATGTGATCACCTGACTCAAGAAGCTCATTGATTCTTTGATGAGATCCCGAAATCGGTCATCATCAAACCACCCAAATTTCGTGACTCGGCACAGAAGTTGGATTAATGAAGCAGTCACAAAAGGCTGTAACTCTGGCCCCCTGGTGGCTAGATAGTTCAAAAGATAGTTCCCTATGAAACAACAAAATAAATAAAGTTATCAACCAGAGTTAACCGAGATCAATTCCTGCTTTTTCCAGTCACGGAAAAGTGATAAGATCGATTATAGTAAAATACTTATATCTAGCCGAAGCTGCAAAGCTAGGCTGTGTTCTGTTACTTGCTTCAACAAACTGGAACTAGCTAGCATCAATGCGTAAGGAGTCAAGGCATGGTCAAGAATGTATTGGCATTGAGAAATGTAATCGGTATTCATGGAGAAGCATTTCAAAGTGTTCTCCGCATGAGCCCTTTCCACAGAATCCTGGGAATTGTATAGCCTCTCACACAACGCTTCCAGTTGGGCCAACTCCATAGCTATGAAATATTTTATCTATCTGACAACCAACGCACACCACACTGGTTCAGAGTTCTGATGATTCGCATTGATCCACAAAAGATTGGGTTGTGATCAGATATGAAACGGTAGGACTAGAAATGACAAAAGGTCCAATGATGGTTCAAGAAAATTACCCTAATCAGAAAAAAATGACGCTTCTGGGTCTACCAAGTTTGCAAACTCGCATTACATTCACGAGAGAGAGGAACAAGTTCCACTCCTCCTTGCAAGTTTCGTTGCTTTTGACGCGATCTATCTAGGTTTCTCAATCGCTTTGATTCTTTGTTTTATTTTATTCTTTGTTAATTGTTAATTGTTAAGTGTTAATGGCTGATCGTCCGGTCAGAGATCCACAGGTGGCGGGGCTCGTTTCACTTTTATTTTTCATTTTTCCAATTTGTTTTTTCTTTATTGTATTTGCCATCTTACAGAGCTCAAATAAGAGGATATTTGGATGGAAACAAAATCATAATTTTAAAAATAATTTTACAGTATACAAAATAAATATATAAAAGAATTTGTCTCGATTTACAAAAAAATACTTTTAATAAGTACTTTTATAACTTTCCAAACATCCCCTAAGTTTGTTTAAACTAAATAAGTGATTATATAATCTATTTATTATTTTATTTGGCTAAATTTTTTCAAATCTTAATAAATTATGATTTTAGTCTTAATTGCACATTTGAACATAATAAGTTATTAGAAGTAGGTTTTTTTGATAAACAAGTACTTTTTGTGATTGCAAGATCTTGATAGAAGTTTATAGAATTTTAACAACACTCATATCTACCTTTTGTTTTTTTTTATAATTATATAAACAAGTTACTAGTGTTATTTATAAAAATCACGGTCGTATTTAAAATCACAATTGTTTACCTCAAAACATAAACACCAGCCATTTGTGGGTCAAGAAAATCAAAATGTTGTTCTCGTCGCCCGGCTGGCGCCTTATGGTTCGCTTTTGGGGTAGAACTGTTTAAAAAAAAAAACCAAAAACTTAAATAAATGACATTAGTTTTTTTTTAACATATTTTTTTTTTGAAATTTTATAATTATGCTTCTCCAATATTTTTTAAATCAAATTCATTAAAAAATTTTCTTCCATCCTATTTCCTCGTATTAGACAGGCCCTAATAATCCCTCCAATCACAGATATAGTAATTAATTGAGGAGTTTAATTCTACATATAAGACATGAGAATTTAATTTATATTATTTTAACTTTATAATTTTTTTTAAAATTATCTCTATTAATTTTGCATAAAAATATTTATCACTTAGTTTTTCCATACTAAGGATTAGTTGGGCATTTTAATAAATTCAATACACTGAATGGTTAAATTAATTAATTTTATTAATACTCATAAATCAATTACCAAGCTCCTATGTTACGACGAGAGGGAGTGTAATTATATATTTAATATAAAACTTAATTTCAGAGAATTTCTATATTTGTTAAAATTGGAGGGATTTTCTTACTTATAAATATATATTTATTAAAAGTTTATAGTTGGCAAAAAAAGGTTTATAATTCCAAAAATTTACGAGCGTGTTTGACTCCTCGTGATGAGATAGGCATACGACATACTTTCCTTTTCAGATTATGCTTTTGATTTTAAACTCTCGCTGCTCTGGTCAAAAAAAAAACCCTCTCGCTGCTCTAAACAAGCACCCCTTCAGGAATATTTTCACTTAACTTTGAATTAAGATGGTTGGAAATGTACTAGTCTTTAAAAGCAAAAGATTAAGGCCTATTTGATAAAAAGAATTGGTTGAAATGGAAAGGAATAAAATGAAATAGAATGAAAATTTCAGAGTGATGGTATATTTGGTAAGTACTGGAATCAAAATTAAGTTGATGAAAAATTTTTATGCTTAGTTGGATGAAAATGGGTTGAAAAATTATACAATTTACCATGTTATCCTTAATAAAAAAATATAAAATTATTAAATAACAATGCTTTTTAACATTAAAGAATAATAATATTATTAAAAAATCAATAATCCAAAAAATTTAAATTAATAAAAACTATAATAACTTATAATTTAAATAAATAAATGTAAATACTCAATATAAATATAAGAATCATCATAGATTTTCATAAAACATACTATGAATATTATTTCTTAAAAAAAAATATAATAATAAATAATATGAATATGAATAAGAAGATAGCGTTTATTTTTAGTCATTATACTTCTTTCCTATATTCTCTTGCAACAACTTCTTTCAAATGCTTGCAATTAAATGCCTCCAACGATTTGTTTTTAGTCGTTATATCAATTTGAATTGTCACTTCCTATTCAAAACTTCTTGTTTCCAAGCCATGTGGCGGATCAAATTCAAATTTTTGAATGGATTTTTTTTCATTAGAAGCTAGATTTAAATAGTCTTTTAGTGATAGGTCATTTGCCTAATTTATATCTAAATTGATAAAGTTATGTCAAAAAATTTTAAGCTTTAATATGACAAGAAAAGGAGTGAGCAAAATTGAATTCAATGCTAAATATTCAATTGTTTTTGTATCAAATTTGAATATTTGAATGTACTCATTTTGTTATCGTAACTTAAAATTCAACCCTAGATTTATTGATGATGCATGATACATGACAACTTTCGTACGAAATTTGAATTTCATTATGTCTTTCTTAGAAACTTTGTTTTGGACACACTAAATAAAGCAATTTTCAATTAGATATAATTTTTTCAATTTAAATTCAATTTGGACAAATAAACTGTCATTGGAAAGCTCTCTAAGTCTAGTTTTTAATGCAACAAGATCCACTCAAAAATGATTTGTAATTTTAAAGTTATGATCAAAACACTGAGCATCAATATACGAATAGATGAGGCGCTAACTGGTTTACAAAATCCGTTATATTTATGTTATCGATATCTAAGAATATGCGTAGGTATTATCTGTCAAAAACAATATTATAAGTTTTTATTCTTGAATTTTTAAATTATTTTTTTAAAATTGCGGTACACTAAATCAAAGGTCTTAAAATAATCGTACATTTGTCAACAATTTTTACATATTTTGTATAATACTTCCTCCGATCCTAAATATAAGACTTATTTTGTAATATAAATTACACTACAAAATGAGTCTTATATTTAGGATCGGAGGAGTATGTTTTAATAAAAAATATTAAATAGATCAAAATTAGTTTTAAAATAATATATAATTCTAATAAAACTAAAAAATTGTACACTAATCTAAATTTTCATATCAATATATGATAAATGAGTACTATTTAGTTTCATGTATTAGCGTTAGCTAATCTAAAAATTAATGAAATTATTAAATTAAATAAAAAAAATAGTTGAGAGTCTTTTAAGAGAAAATTGTAAAAAAAAAACTGTCAAAATAAAAAAATACAAATAGGGGCCCATTTGATAATAATTTTTGTAAATAAATCCCTGTGTGCAATTTTCCTTTTTCTTGCGATTTTCCCGTCTTTTAAAAGCCAGCTGTTGGACGGAACTTTTGGTCAGCTTTCTTAATTTTAAATGAAATGAAAAGTGTTTATACAATAAAATAAAAATCTTCGCCAAGTTGGTGTTTGTGTCATCGACCATGGGGATTTTTTTCTTTTTCTATTTCTTTTTTTAATCATGGGTTTTGTTCGTGATGGCATATTTTGCCTTTCAAACTGAGGCTTTTGCGTTATATAATAGGTTTTTTAATCAAGTTTTTCCCAAAAAAATTGTGTAATTGGTGTTCTATCTCGGAAAAAGGTGGGTTGCTTCATAAACCTTTGTTGCTAGCTCTGTCATTAATGTACGAACTAAGTGAGAATTGAATTTAGTTCTAAATATGAGGTGTCAATTTATTTTATTTCTCAAATTTTAAATTCATTCTTTAAAATATCCCTATTGACTACATATATCAATAAGTTTTTATACAAAGGAAATAACCAACTAATTTTCTTAATCTACTCAAAGAGTTGGTTTGACTTTTATTTTAATCCTAAATATAAAACCTCAATCCACTTTGTCTCTTATATTTATTCATTTTTTAAGATAGTTTTTGTAATAATGGTAATTTTAGCCAATACACTTAATCAACAAGGATATTTTAGAAAAAACAACATCTATTTATTACAAATAATTAACTCAACTAGTTTTCTTAATCTACTCAAATTAGTCAATTAACTCTTATATTAAAAACCGGAAGTAGTATTAAGGAGTGGAGGTATTATTGATTAAGAATGTTTTTGCCAGCTTATTTAAGCAAGAATGTTATATGAATATAAGTTAACATGTGCAATAATAATATGAAAGATAAACTTTGCCCAAAAAAATATGAAAGACAAATGTCACCGACGAATTTTTAGTTCTTTAACATGATACAAAGTTTCTTTTAATCTTAATATTGATAACAAAAAAAAACTAATATTATGTGTAATTTATAATAACGATTTATACAAAAAAATTATTATTTGAAACTAATAATAGTAGAGTTAAATGACTGAAAAAAACTTAATGGTGACCAAACTAAAAACTTATAAACTTAGAAAACTAAAAATATACTTTTACCACATTGAATCAAAAATCGGACCGGACCAATTGGGTTGGACTGAAAACCTAGTGTAACGCAGGGTGACTAGGTATAACCTGATCTACTCAGTAGAAACCCGTTAACTCAATCAGGTTAATAGGTTAGCCCATTTATTTTTTTATATTTTTTCTTTATTTTCTTTTAAAGCTGCTGACAATACTCATTTGGGTAGGAATATTTTGTTACCAAATATCTATTTTGATATATTATGCTAGAATGAATGTTAGTGATTTTAATAGAATAATACTATGATATTAATTTGTCAAGGAAATGGTAAAGAAAGTTGGAAAGAAAATTTAAGAATATGATTATTTTGTAAGTGATTCAAGAAATTGAATTGATATTTAATCTTTTGGATGGTATGATGAGAATTTAAATTTATTTTTTATTCATCACAAGTTTGACCTTGAATTGACTCCTATCTAACTCACTAGCCCTTGACCCACTATATCGATCGATTTAGAAATTGGTCTGATTTTTAATATCTTAGTTTACCAACAATCTCATTGGTCAAAATCTTATCTTGAATGATTCTTTTCAATTCATTTTTAGCTTCTTTCTTATATGGCATTTCGAACTCTATTTTTTTAAAATATCTAATGGAAAAAACAAAATTACATCATTCCAACATGATTGCTTTCAAGGTTGCAATCTAAGTCCAAAATAGGTAACAAATCATCTGGTGCAAAGACGATCAAATGAAAGTCACGTAAAGCTGAAAGACCCTTCTTCGC